CGGCCATCCAAGCCAAGTGCGTTTCGATGAGATATTGCGTCTTCGAGCGCATCTCACCTTTATTGCCCAACATTAATGGCCGCGGCATGCGGCCCTCCAGCGTGCACAGCTCGCAATCTATCCCTCTCTCGTTCTCCGCGCCCAAAAGAGGTCTAATCTTGATGTGCCATAGCAACCTGAGTGTCTTCTCCCAACTGATGCCCGACGCTCAGCTCCGCGATAGGTCGTTAATGGCCATGCTGTGCCAGTTCACCGCTGTGGTGCGACTCGTATTTGGGATTTACGAGGTGCTCAGCGGTGTGCACCGTGAATTGCGCTACGGTTTTGGTTAAAATGCGCGATGGCAGAATGCTACAAAAGCTGGGAGAGCTGCGCTGAGAGTACTTCAGGTCGAACTCGCCAACTCAACCTACCCAGTCCACTCCTCTCTCTCAGTCAAAAATGCGCTTCCAACTGCTCACCGCACTTGTCCTTGCTGTCTTTGCCGTCAGCGCTGCTGCGGTGCGTTTTCACCTGACCCTTCTTTCTGCCGACGCTGATGAAGGTACCAAACGAGCAGGCACCTGCGGCGGCCGATGGCGAGCTCTCCAAGAGGGGCTACAGCCAGCCTCAGAACGGCGGCTACAACCAGGGCCACAACGGGCAGGGCAACGGCTACGGTGGCGGAGGTAACAGCAACCACAACGGTGGCGGCAAAGGCAACAACGGCGGATACGGCGGAGGCAAGGGCAACAATGGTGGATACAGTGGCGGCAAGGGCAACAACAACGGAGGGTATGGCGGAGGCAAGGGCAACAACAATGGCGGATACGGCGGAGAAAGCGGGAACAACAGTGGATACGGTGGGGATAAGAACCACAACGGTGGCGGCTACGGTGGAGGAAACAACAACAACAACCACGGCGGATATGGCGGGGGAAACAACAACCACAACGGCGGCTACGGTGGAGGCAACAACCACGGTGGATATGGTGGAGGTAACAACAACCACAACGGCGGCTACGGCGGTGGAAACAACAACGGCCACCACCAATCCGGCGGCTACGCGGTATGTTCCAATCCAGCCTCGTCGCATCTCCTGCCGAAATCTCACGGGAGTATATACAGAGAGTGTGTGTGTGCGACTTGGCCTGATGGTAAAAGTCGCACACTGATGGCAGTGAGTCGCACATAAGTGATCCTATGTATGATCTGCTAGCGGTTACTCCCATCTCCGCGGTCCGAATCTCTGATGCGCCTAAGTGTCTAGACGGCGATCTGTCACAACTGTGACAACACGCCACCTCAGTTACCACCGCCATCACCCGGTTGCACCCCCGCGGGGGGGTTTTGGTCCATTTGGGGCAGGGGCATATGCGGGGATCAGCAGGGGGGGTGCAGGGGGGGGTCTGTACATATCATGTGATTTATCATTGGGAGCGGGCAGGTGGGCGCGAAAAAAAAAATGAATCACATGACACATCCAATGGGCGGGATGGCGGCCGATGGCGGGGTAAAAAAATCACGTGATGCACCGCATGAAAATTATCAAAGATGGCTAGCAGCGGTTGGCGGGGGTTGGCGGGGGGCGCTACTGTCCCCCCGCACACCATGGCGGGCAGTGGGCGCATTATCACGTGACTTTTGGGGGCACCTTTTATGCACCATTCGGCATGATTTCGAAGGTGTTGCTTGATCCATTGCATGCTGTGGCAGACAATGGGCGCATAATCACGTGATTTTCCGCCCAAAAAAATGGAAGCCTTCCCAAATCATCCTGGTATCATTTCTATAGGTAAATACACTAGTTAAGCATGAATTTGAGCTTAGAAAGCCCAAAATGCACCCCGCACAATGGGACTGGTGATGCACTTGATCCCATCATTTGGCGGGGTCTGCTGCGGGGGGTGCCACGGGGGGTGCCACAGGGGGTGCCGCGGGGCCCGCTGTGGGGTCAACCACAGGAGCAGGGTTAGGGGTGCATTGCATCATATTTTGATCTATCTATTCTTGCTGTGGTCATAGCATGCAGCATAATTATCCTTCATTTTGCCAGGAGTTTGGAGGCTGTGTCTGGGGGTGGTCTGCAGCTACAGCCGTGTGACTCCGTGATGCTTCGGCAGGGGCTGGGATATCAAAACTGTGCAATATTGGCTGCGTAATCCAGGCATGTAGAATTAAAAAGAAAGTGTGATTTGTTCATTTTTTGGCTGGCAGGGTAGGTGGGCTGACATCATGGGCTGCATCGGGTCCACTGTCAACTCAATGATTATTTTGTCTGCTCATTTTATACACATGCCCATTGGTAAACTGATCATGCTGTAGGCACAGTCTAATCTTACCTTGTGGATAATACCACACATTAATTATGCACCTAATGTCACACTTCCTGTCTGGGACTCATTGAAGTTCATCTGTTCTGTGTTACTTTACAAGCAGTTTGCTTTAGTTGCAACATGAACAGATGTAATAGAGTGGATTTGACATGCCCTGAATTGATTCCTAGGTGGAATATGAGACAATGGATTCACCAGCAAGTTGTCTCACAATAGTCAGAGATTGGTAATATTTGAATTCCAAATTTCATATACAACACTCTGTGCACTCAGAGCTTGTATATGTGCAAGATAGACTGTAGAGACATAGATGGTTACGTTTACTACCTCTGGGGCTGCACACATCCTTGCCATGACCCACTGCCTGCACCCCTGCTGATACCCCCCATTGGCACCCCCGCCGGCACCCCTGTCGGCACCCCCGCCGGCACCCCCGCTGGCACCCCCGCCAGTCTAGCACCCCCCGCCGCACTGGTGCCTTGTCCCTGTGATTTTCTTATATGTAAGATTATGTAAACTGACAGCTCGGAACACGTCAAGTCACCAGCCAATCAGAACCTGTATAAACGTCGTACCTAAGTGTTTACTACTCTTCTAACACTGTTCCTACAGTTATGCAGCTGAAAACCATCGGAATAAGGTCTCCATATGCTATTCTTGTTGAATATGTAGATACTTCATATCCTTTGTCCACCTAAAATTCGAAACATGAAAACAGTTCACCATTGCTCAAGGTTCCTATGTAGACAATGGTTCAACATGGTTCACTTTGGGTATGGCAAAAAATATTTTTTCTACACACAAGCAATTCAATACAGCTGAATGATATACTCTTTGGCAGTGTCTGAAACAAATTCTGAGAGCCCTGGACCCTGGAACCATTCAAAAACTTGAAATGAGTCCGAAAAATAGGGTCTTGATAAACATGAGATATGGGCTGGTTTGAAGAGACATGGGCCACCGGTCATGTTGAATATAGTATTTTACAATGTTTCGGTGCCCTACCTTTCATCACATGGCCTCATTTCTCACTCAAAAGGGCGCATACACACTCAAGCTCATAAAATCAATTGTCACCCAGAAACAAGAGCAGTGAAGTTGTTTCACTGGGATTGGGTAAAGGTTACCTAGAAGTCACTTGGGTTGCAGTACAGAAGCTTTGGAAAGTGATTTTGTAGTTGATCCACATTTGGTAGGCTGGCATATGCTTGTGCACCCCCACGGCACCCCCCGCGGCACCCCCCGCGGCACCCCCTGCGGTTGACCCCCCCCCCAACCCCTACAAGGATTTAATTGACAAATGTCCTGCTCAATCCATTGTAAGAGTCTACAGTATTATTGGATTCAGTAAAGGGCCCAAATGGTGTGTAGACAAGAAGTATGAAATCCGGAAATCAACAATTATGACACCACCATGGAATATGCTGCAAATGGAGAGAGAAATTTGAGCGCAGACAGACTACCTGAAGCAAACAGACAGAGAAAAGAAACATTAGCCATTTCTCGTTGATGATGTTGGCTGTCCCTGGAGCATGTACTTGGGAGATTTGCCTAACAAATCAAGTTGCGCATTTTTCAAATTTTTAGTTTGACCTGACAGCTTGAGCGGACCATGCCAAAATGAACCAAGTCATAAATATCAGTGCCCCAAGCCAAGCCAAAAGATTTAGGTAATATTGCACAGTTTTGATATCCCAGCCCCTGCCGAAGCATCACGGAGTCACACGGCTGTAGCTGCAGACCACCCCCAGACACAGCCTCCAAACTCCTGGCAAAATGAAGGATAATTATGCTGCATGCTATGACCACAGCAAGAATAGATAGATCAAAATATGATGCAATGCACCCCTAACCCTGCTCCTGTGGTTGACCCCACAGCGGGCCCCGCGGCACCCCCTGTGGCACCCCCCGTGGCACCCCCCGCAGCAGACCCCGCCAAATGATGGGATCAAGTGCATCACCAGTCCCATTGTGCGGGGTGCATTTTGGGCTTTCTAAGCTCAAATTCATGCTTAACTAGTGTATTTACCTATAGAAATGATACCAGGATGATTTGGGAAGGCTTCCATTTTTTTGGGCGGAAAATCACGTGATTATGCGCCCATTGTCTGCCACAGCATGCAATGGATCAAGCAACACCTTCGAAATCATGCCGAATGGTGCATAAAAGGTGCCCCCAAAAGTCACGTGATAATGCGCCCACTGCCCGCCATGGTGTGCGGGGGGACAGTAGCGCCCCCCGCCAACCCCCGCCAACCGCTGCTAGCCATCTTTGATAATTTTCATGCGGTGCATCACGTGATTTTTTTACCCCGCCATCGGCCGCCATCCCGCCCATTGGATGTGTCATGTGATTCATTTTTTTTTTCGCGCCCACCTGCCCGCTCCCAATGATAAATCACATGATATGTACAGACCCCCCCCTGCACCCCCCCTGCTGATCCCCGCATATGCCCCTGCCCCAAATGGACCAAAACCCCCCGCGGGCCCCGCAGGGGGGTACCTGTTGGGTACCCTCAGAGCTACGTCTGAGGGTACCCAGTAGGACCCCCGCGGGGGTGCAACCGGGTGATGGCGGTGGTAACTGAGGTGCAACACGCGTCGTACAGTGTGCATTATTGATCATTTTAGTTAAAATAATGTCGTCTGCCAGGTTACATGAACAAATTACGGTATACAATGACATTACCCCTTCCTCGGCTTCTTTGAGGTCGATTCCCCAATCTTATTGTCTTGGGATCTGGTCCGAGGGACTCGCTTGCGAGCTGATGAGCGTCTCGGAGCATCCTGAACGTCTGATTTAGCCACCTCGCGCCGTGTGGTCAGTGGAAGTTGAGCGGCAGGTGTTGATTCGACTTCGGAAGCCATCTCAGATTGGGGATTGGGCAGGACGTATCTCTCAGCAGACGGAAGCGGTTGATCCATAGAGAGACCCGTGTCCGTACTGTTCCCCCCCACACTCTCTGGCATGTTGCTGATCAATTGGTCCCATACTTCCTGCGAAAACTCCTCAAAGCCCGCAAACTCAGATCCCATCTAGGATTGGATACTGAGCTTTGTTACAGTAGAATCGAGCTCCTCACCTGAGATTCGCTGAGATCGAAGTTCAGAGCGGCCATGTCCGCTTGTTCAATGTTGAAAAAGACCGGATCAGCAAAATCAGGATCTAAATTGAACGTAAATCAGTTTAGATAACAACATGAACTCGTCACATACCTCCATAGTGTCCAAATGAATCGGTGGTATCGACGATGGTTGTTGTAGACGGCCCCTCCTTTGGCCAGTAGAAGGACCAGAAATCGTGGGAATTCTCGATCGCGCCTTGGTTCCCAAACTCCGGTTCCAAAAGTAACGTTGCTGAATGTATGTTGTAGGAATATTGGATAAACAAGAAAAAAAAATACTCACATGAAAGTGGTTCTGAAGATTGGTCCAATGGCTCCAAGTTCGATTCCGGCGTTGCCAGTTCAGCGGGGAGTTCAACAGGTTGTCCGGCATCAGCACGAGATGAAGAAGGAGCGCCTGGTAAGAAGAGTACTCAAAATTAGATAATATGGGCACGCATCAGTAATTAGAAAACTTACCATTGTCAATTGCTTGAGTCGCAACACTGGCAGGGATCTGCTTGCGAGCGAGTGGTCCCGATCGGAGCTCTAGCAACCTCGCATCCAGCGCAGGCCGTCGAACAGATCGCCATGTCCGTCTGGCTGACTTCTCTGCCTCCTCCTCTGCAAGTCGCTCCTTCAGTTCGAGCCGAAAATGCTCATCACGATGGTTGATGCGGAGAGCATTCCTGCAGTATTTAATTTGTTGTTCCAAAGCCTTTGAGCGTTTAAGCGAGGCATCATACTCGCTTTTACCATCCTCTATTTTGGCCTTGACTGACTGGTACTCCCCAATATCAATGTCCTGCTTAGCGGCAAGTGTTCGCTGCCACACAGCGCGCCTGGCCAAATTTACCTCGCGATCGTAGATGGTATTGTTGCGTCTGTGTAAGATACCACTGCGTTCCATTTGAATTAGGTTCGCGACATGGGTATTGTCCCGCTGTTCCGCACTAAATTACAGAATCAGTGCTAATTGCGACCAGAAAAATGAACAAATTGAACTCAAGGATCGCATCTAGCAGGCCGACGTGCTTCTGAGTTTCCGCATTCCGAGCGGCATGGGCGGTCTCCACAATATTCGTATGATTCGGGGTAGTTTTGAAGTCGTCAGAGGCAATATTGGAGAGAACAGGACTAAGCGACGGAAGAATCCAGCGGTTGCTCAGTTTGTGCTTCAGCCAATCTGTATTACATAAATTAGTAGTTCTGTACTCGAATGACTGACGTACTATGAGCGTCAGGATAGGGCTGTAGAGCGTTGGGCATCTCAGCCAGCCAGCTCTCGACCTCATCCCGGGTTTCGAGTCCCGGAAAGCTGCGGATCCGCTGAACAAGGTCGAATGGAGTTGTCTTCTCAAGTTCCTTCACATGTCTGGAGGCGTAAAGCTTAGCAAATATTGGGATGAGTAAATTCAACCAACTCACCGATGAAAATGAACGCTACAGGTTTTGAGCACGTACGAGAGCAGCTCAATTGGATCTCGAGCATGAATACCACTGGTCGCTGGGTCATTGTACGACTTCAAGAACTCGCCAAGGCCCAGAGCCTGAGCGACCTCGCCATCGAGTAAGATCACCCGACAGTTTGCATCGGGATAAAAGGGTGCCAACTTGAAGACCCGGCCAGTGATGCGTTTGATAGCGTCAAAGAGCTCAATCCAGAGCTGAAGATAGGCCTCTGTCGACTTCGTGTCACAAAACAAACTTCCGAATGTGAATCCTGTCCAAGCCAGGAAATATCAATCCATTAATTATAAAGAGTCTCTAAGGACGGCAGACGCACGTTTCTGAACTGAATCCAAAAATCCAGCGATCTCCCATTCGTCCATCCTCTCTGATCTATGAACACGCGAGAAGGTGAAATCGATTGCAAGGTATCGGACTTGATGAATGCGTTCAGCCAATTCGGGATGCATTGTAACAACAACACGGAAGCCGCCTTTGTTAATTACCGCGTGAATGTAACGGTCGGATGGCAATATATCACGTTTTGTGATGGAGTGATAATGCACCAGGCCTAAAATGAATTACTTGAGCCCCCCACATACTCAACCAGATTTAAATTAGTAGCTCACCTTCCCAACCCGTTCCCCTAGGAAAGGTATTCTTCTTCTCCGATGAAATCTCCCCACGAATATACCGATTGTTCAGGAGAGCAGTGGACACTGTACCTAGTGCAGCCGAACCAAAGATATCGCTGGTGGACGGCGCTTCATGATGTGAGAAATATAATCAAAAGTCGATCATATAACTCACAATTCAAGAGCTGACTGGGAGTCAGTCCACGGACACCTACCGCCTTGATTGCAGAGGCAAGAAGTCGCTTCTCCTGAGAGCCCATCTTTGAGATCGGCCAAGCTGGATGATTATGCGGACCCGAGAAGTAGATAATGGCCTTATAGGCAAGCTCCGGAGTCGCGCGCTGCTCGCTTTCAGTAGGAATAAGAATAATCATCTTTACTGGACATTTGCGCTCGACCATCCCTGGTCGCGTAATAACACCATCAATAATGTGGCTATAATCTGCGAAATAGATTAAAAAGTGCAGAAGGCCAAAATAGCTGACTTACTGCATTGCTTCGCTCCGAATCGCGGATTGGAAGTGAAAGAACACTTGTCCTTCACGGTGACAAGGTCTGGGAGCTGACCGGCATTATCGAGGGTGTGCCGAAGCATTTCCTCGTCAATATGACTAGGGATAGTTGAGTATCGATGGTCCTCGCCAGCTTGAAAGCCCGAGCATCCCACAAAATGAGAATGCCCATTGAAGATGCGATTCTAGGAAAAAAATCAGAGCGCTACGTAGAGATGAGAAATAGATTGCACTCACGCCAGAAATCCGAACTAGTTTTGGAACGCCGTTGCACTGAACCTTGCAGCGTATTTCGTGAATCTGTCGGTGATAGCTACCTCATATATGAGATCAAGGTTTGAACAAGAAAGATAATTTACATACCGTGCGAGAGAAGCAAGATGGGACGCAGCTTCCTCTTGATTATCCTGCAGTTGGGGCACCCACAAGGCATGCATTTCATCTGGATCGGCTGCATAACGAACACAATGATCCACAAGCCCAGTGTCAAACAAGGCACAGGAATCGAGACCATTGCAATGCATTGTGAGACGGCGGCATCGGACAGCGATATATGGAGACTCCGAGAGTAACTGAGCAACTCCAGTATCACCAGTGTCCGTCTTGTGCCCGCTGGACTTTGTATCCCACGAATCTTGGTCCTTAGATAAATATAGTGAGAAATTGAATGGAATCTTCAAGCCGGTTGATTGTACCTCCTGGCGAATATACTGCCCGAGATCCTTCAAAATACCGTCATCGTTTTTGAGGAGGGATTGGTCTGCCTCCGTGGATGCGTGGAACAGATATGCGGCGGAATCAGCGGGATTGGGGATATCCCATGTCCGTGGTACAACAGAAATGGGGATCAGACGATCCACAGACTTGTAAGTAGTGATCCGAATAGAAGGATCGTCGCGCCGAGGCCTGATGGTCTTTCTCTTGAGCTGCGGAGCTGGATGAAGCACAAAATGAGTAGGAATGGATCCGGATTGGATTAGACGACCACGTACCATCGAGATCACGCACAGAATCGTTTTGAACCGGAGATATAGTGGAATCGAGATCTAATCAAAAGAGTTTGAACGGCCTAGATTCGTTGCGCGTAGCAATTTTCAAGCTTACCGGAACCAGTTTGAAAGCTGCGGGCCGACACACCGCTCTCTGAACGAGCATCAACATCCGTGTCAGGATTGGAGAGATCCGATCGTATGGACATAGATGAAGCCGGCCGAGAAGAAGGAGCCAGGGATGCGTGGCTGCTGGAGGCCGTGGCAAGATCATAGAAGGACGATGCACGAGAATTCGGACGTGATTCGGAGGCTGCGAAGGAGCGCAGTCGCTGAAAATCGTCCTGCTGATTCAGGAAGAGTGCAAAAGGACGGGGATTAATCCAGGTTAAGCAACGCTCAAAGGAGAAGAGTGCGGTGCGGAGAAGGGTACTCTCAGACCCCAGAATCTTGTAAAACCAATTGAAATAGACGCAGCAGTAGGATCAAATACACGCACAAAATTCCGGTATGCCTGCAGCTGTCCCATGGTCGCTGATTCGAGATCCAAAGTAGCGCTGGTCTCAATTGATCCATTATCCAGCAAGAATAACTGGTACCCAAGGGAGGACACCCAAGATGACGCAATATCAATTGAAAGATGCGCATGAGTCTGCTCAGGGAAAGCCTTCAAGGCAGGATTACTACAGCTTCAAGACGTCAGAGGAAACACATACCCAGACTCTATAACGTTTAACCTCATCAATGGAAAGACGGGAGACCTTAAACGACGCATCTGAGAGTGTCTCAGATCGAAAAAATAAGAGAATGCTGCGGGAGATGTACCGTTATTCGCCATTGAACTTTCCGACTCAAGCTAGCTTGCAAGGGGAGAGATCTGGATGCGGTTACAAAGGAACATGCAATATGTACATATATATGTGGATGACCCGACTCATGTATTCTAACCATCTGCCCTGGGTTCAATCGATAAGGGTTCAAGATAAGTTGTAAGCGAGGGGATCTACAAAAGGTAAGAGATTGTGGACTGGCAGAGCAGCCTAATCAACACGAGGCTTTGAGTGCTGGGTCTAAGGGTTAGTTCAATCAGATTTAATCAGGGAGCACATCATTTGCCAAAAAAAAATACACAGTTGGTATATACTGGAACCGCGTACTAACTGTTGTGCCATTCAAAGGCATTGATTATGTCCGAGCTAGGCCGTTCAAATGTATTGATTACGTCCAAGTGCAGAATCTCACAACAAGTCCCACAGTGGTACTTGGCGACAGCTGACAGCATCTGTCAATCCGCGGATAAGGTCCGGTCCGGTCCGGTCTGATATTTACCAACCGTTTGCCGCTGGGATCACCGGTTATCAAGATCAGCATGTGAATATTATACATCAGAGTGCGACTTTTACAGATCACTGTGCGGCATTTCCCATCAGAGTGCAAGTCCAATACTTGCACTCGCACACTTATTGTCATTCCTCAAACAATACTACAGTGCGAGGGCATCAAATGACAATGCGCGCGAGCGCTTTAGTGTGAATACACCTATACTCCCATCTTCTCGTGCGTCTGCCTCCGTTTACGACCCCTCCAGCGCCTTCGCGATGTCCGAATACGTCTTCCAGGCTTTCGAGCCGCCCTCAGGTGCATCAGCCCCGCCACCGCCCCGAGAACGCACCATGTAGGGATCCTGCCATTCAATAAATCCAAATGGGACTACCCCGCCTATCCAGGCCATTCTTCCCTCGCCCTCAACACCCACACAGTCCTTCGCATTCAAGAGGGCCACTGGAAAGGCAAAGCGTGGTTCATATGCCAAGGATCTTGCGTCGGGAGAGTACACGTTGTTGTGGGCAACAATTGGTGAGATGGAGGCTTGGATGATGGTCCTTTTGAGCTGCCCTCTTCCATCCTATTGACTCCCGCATTGCCTGAGCCCGGTCCCTCGCATGCTATGTCATCACAAGTCCCGGAACGCGCCTCTCCTGAATCTATCGCAGCCCTTCTCCATGTTGTCACATGCGTCAACGCGATCTATGAACCTGCTCCACAATATAATATGGCGGGTCCGTCCCAAGTACCTGTATCTGAATAATTATCTTACCCCCAGGCTCATATGGCCCTTCTCATTATAAAGACCAATGAGATTTACTTAGTGACACAGCCTCGTATTATCTCCAGTAGAATTTCATAAATTTTCCGTGAATGGGCTGGCAATTGAATTCAAAGCAGCATTTAAAATACTTCACGGTGTTACCATCATTGCCCGGGGCCTTCGGGCGGCGACTTCCCAAAATGGCTGTCCCAAAAAAGGAAATTCCAAGGGCGGAAAATTGCAAACTAAAGGACACTGTAGTAACTCTTGTACTTTCCCCGCTCCCGAGAACACAATTTGTAATTCATTTTGAAACCAATCGTTGCAATGCTGCGGTGTGCAGGCTTCACCCGCTGGGTGATCTTGTAAATGGTATCTCCGCAGAAGATCGAGCACTGCAGCAGATGCGTGAAGTGTGCTCATCCCTTGATCTCAACTGCTTGAATCTCCTCGTCTTGCAGAAGCCGGAAGGCTTCAAGTTTAAGACTGACGTGAGTTACCGCGCTGTTCTGTCGGGTCACCTGATGATGCGCCACGAGCGCCTCACGCATCCAACGTCAGAGAAACAGGTCCAGACTTTTGTTGTACATACATCTCGAATTCAGGTTCACCATGGTCTATACCTCGGCCCACTAATCAAGTCCAACGCATTCTGCCGACCCTGAGCCTCTATACTGGCCTTGGCATGAGCCGCTTGCAACTCGATCTGTGCCCTTTCCTGTGCAAACGCCTGAACTTTCCTCACGCGCTCGAGCATTCGTGGATCCGCCTCCTCTGGAATTACGCTCCGCGGCAGCTCACCCCATGCAGCCACAAGTCCAGCCAAGCCGTACGCCGGATTCTTGGTCAGCCGCGCGAACGCGCCCCAATGCCGTGACGGCTCGCAGAGGATCTCCAGCGCCATGACATCCATGAACCCGCGCAGCGTGATCATCGGCATCTGCCCACCGGACGCCGACTGCGCCGCGGACGTCGACTGCGTGAACGCGCGCGCAAACGCACCCCCGATGCTCTGGATCTGCTGCGTCAGCGCATCCGGCGGCGCACGCGGGTCCCGCGGCCGCGGGGCAAGCGTGTACTCGACGCTGAACAGATCCCACGCCCGGCGCAACGCCGCATCCGCCGCCTCCTCCTTCGTCGTCCCGATCGTCGCCACGAGGCTCGCCGTCCATGTGTTCTCCTGCCCGACGTACCCCAGGTCCGCGAGGAAGCGCGAGAACACTTCGGGCTGCAGCGCGCCCGTCCGGCGCGGGTCGAGCGCCGCGAAAATCGTGCCCATGAGGTGCTTGTACACTGGCGTGCCGTCCATCTCGGGCGTGAAGAACGGAGCCCAGCCGGTGAGGCCGCCGCCGGGTGCTGGTGCAGCTGTCGCGCCGCTCGCGCTAGAGCTGGTGCCGCCTGACGACGTGCCACCGTATGTAGGTGGGGGAGGGGAGGAGGAGGAATGGTAGCCCTCGGGCACAGATCCTCCCGGCGCCGACCCTCCTGGTGCAGATCCTCCTGGTGCAGACCCTCCCGGTGCCGATCCACCTGGCGCAGATCCACCTGGCGCAGAGGCCCCATTCAATCCCCCCATCGACATCGACATCGACATCCGAGTGCGCGACGGTAGCGGTGGACCAGCCGTCGATATGCGCTTGGGTGGAGGTTGAAAAGATTGTTGCTGCTGCTGCTGCTGCTGTGACGGCGATTGCTGTCCTGTAACGGACACAGGCAGGGCAGGAGACACAGTCCGACTCGGCGCCTGAGCAGGTGGCGGTGGTGTCGCGCTCGGCAAGGCCGCGTTCGTCGTCCCCATCTGCGGCGCCTGGCCAGATGCAACAAGCCCCAGGCTCATGGCCGACACGACGCCCTGCTGTGCGCCGCCTCCGCTCTGTCGCCACACACGCACCCGGTGGCTGGCCTGGTGTGCGGCACTCGTCGTGCCAGCCCGTTCGCCCAACGCGCACACCGCGCACAGATCAACGCCGCATCGCGGCTCGACGCACTGCACGCGGGGGTGTGTCGCTGGGATGGGCGCCCCGCACGCGTCGCACCCGAAGAAGTTGGGTGCCATCGTCGACTCGGGTGGGGCAGAATGTTTCAGAAAGCTTTAGAATAAGCGGTTGGAGAGTGAAAGTTGTGAGAAAGTGGGACTAATGGCATCGTAAATTGTGGCCTTTTATGCGTCAGTGCAGTTGCGTGCAGGCAAGCCTCGCCTGTTTCTTTAGTTTGACGTACGACGTTGGCAGGCACGGCCGGTACCTGACGGCTTGATGAGGATGCGGTGCTCCGCTTGGCGCCGTGCTTGGCGATCGCCGGCGAATTGGGCATCTAATCTTATCTGTTCATCACACGTGAATCATCATGAACGGAACAACCCGATGCACGCGGGCAGACCTCGAGGCTTCTTACCATAAACCTTCGTCCACAACCACAGTGATGTCGTGTGACATTTTTCTTCTTCGCGCCTTCTTGCCGCTGTCACTTCCGTTTAACCGTCTCTTCCCACCACTATGTCATCCCGCCCGAGCTCGGAGAGTCCATCGCACACTGTGGCACCCTCGAACGAGATGCACGGCTCCTCTGAGGAGAAGAACCTCGGTGCGACTAGAGCATCCGAGGATACAGAGAAGGCGGGAGAAGCGGAGGTCCACTATGTGCACGGCGTCGAGTTGGCCTTGCTCACGCTCGCGTTGATGCTTGCTGTCCTCCTAGTGGCATTGGTGCAGTCCCTTGCTTCGCAGTTCAGCCTCGTTCATCTGACACTGGAGCCCCTTGCTCTAGGACAACACCATCATTGCAACTGCGATTCCCAAGATTACGGACCAATTTGACTCTTTGGCTGATGTCGGGTGGGTGCGTATATGTGACTGCTCCTTTGACTTCTTCATATGCTGATCCGAGACTACCGCGTCCCAATAGTACGGAAGCGCGTGAGTGCCTTTCTCACTGCACATATATCCAACTCCAACTCTTTTCACCAGCTATCTTGTCGCTACAGCAGCAACGCAGCTCCAGTTCGGCAAGTTCTACTCGATCCTGCCGATAAAATGGGTCTGTCTGCTGGTTCATCCCACCTCCTGGACTTTCGCTCATTACTGCAAGGTGTTCATCTCTGCCATCGCTGTCTTCGAGATCGGGAGTGCCGTATGTGGATCCGCCCCCTCATCGGGTGCATTGATCGGTGGGCGGGCGATTGCTGGGCTGGGTTCATCAGGTGCGGTCTCGAAAAATTGATCTGTGGGGAAAGCATTCATGAGCTGGAATTCAGGCATCTTCAGTGGCGCATTCATCATAGTGGGTATGGCTCCCTTATCACATATCCCACTTGCTCGAAGCTGAGAAAATTTCCTAGCACACATCGTTCCGCTGGCAAAACGGCCGATCTTCAACGGACTCTTTGGTGCTATCTATGGCGTTTCCAGCGTAGTCGGGCCGCTACTGGGCGGTGCGTTCACCGATAAGGTCTCGTGGAGATGGTGCGCACCGTGTAACTTATGACGAAAGCATGCGCTCAACAGTGACCCAGGTGTTTCTACGTAAGCTGAGGCTACACACTATTCTTACTTCCCGCCGATCAGAGATTTCCGCAGATCAATCTCCCCATCGGCGGAGTGTGTCTCCTCTTTCTCGTGTTCTTTTTCCGCATGCCGGAGAGCATCCAGGCGCGATCCGCGGCGAACGCAGCAGAGGTGAGCGCATGGGAGCGCTTCAAGCAGTTCGATCCGCTGGGCATTGTCACATTCATGCCCGCGATCGTCTGCCTGCTGCTTGCTCTGCAGTGGGGCGGCTCGAAATACGCATGGAGCGACGGGCGCATCATCGCGCTGTTCGTCGTGTTCGGTGTGCTTATTTTCGCGTTCGTGGGGATCCAGATCTGGGGACAGGACGGCGCGACGGTGCCGCCGCGCATCATCCGGCAGCGCACCGTCTCGTGCTCGGCATTCTTTGCGTTCTGCCAGGGCAGCTCTTTCTTCCTGTTTGTGTACTACCTCGCGTGGGTGACTTTTCTCTGGACTCTGTAGCGCCGTCCCTCATTTTCCCAGTATCTGGTTTCAAGCGATCAAAGGGACCACTGCGATCAAATCCGGCATCGACACGATCCCGCTCGTGTTTGGGACGGTCATCGGCAATGTTTTGTGCGGATTCGGGACGAGCATGACCGGGTATTTCGCCCCGTTCATGTTCGTCTGCACGATCCTCATGTCCGTCGGCGCGGGGCTCATGACGACGTTCACGACGACGACCGGGCACGCGCACTGGCTGGGGTACCAGGTCATCCTGGGGCTCGGCGTGGGCTTCGGCATGCAGCAGGGCATCACCGCGGTGCAGGCCATCCTCCCCGCGAAGGACGTCTCCGTCGGCACCGCGATCGTCATCTTCACGCAGAACCTCGGCGGCGCGCTCTTCGTCTCCGTCGGACAGAATCTGTTCCAGAACAAACTGCTCGCCGGCATCGCGCGGAACGTCCCGCAGGTCGACCCCCTCAGCGTCCTGAGCGCTGGTGCGACGAGCCTGAAGAGCGTCGTCCCCGCGCAGTACTTCGGGGCTGTGATTGTCGAGTACAACGCGGCGCTGATGGCGGCGTTCCAAGTTGGTCTGATCATGGCTGCGCTGTCGCTGTTGGGCGCGGCTGGAGTCGAGTGGGTCAGCATCAAGAAGAGTCCGGCTGAGAGATCCGAGTCCGCTTAGTTCTATGAGCTGTGGTATCCCAGTACCATCCACTTCATACGCTTCACTGGGCTGACATGGCTCTTGGTCCGCTAGGTATATAGACCACTTATAATAGAGATACATGCGATGCAAAAAAAATATACGGATTTAAGGATGAAGCCGGGCCAGAGAGCGGTCTCGAGAACGTGCGAATAAACAAGCCAATAAACTGCGCAGAAGCATCGGAACTAAACTAAGACTCAGGATCCGACCGATCAACGTATCAAGCGATGGGTCAACTTTCTACTGTCCACGAGGTTGCTTGCGACCCTACCAACCGCCTCCGGATATAAAAAAAAACAGAGGCGGCGAAAGATGCGGGGAGGCCGCCCCAGCCGAATTGACATCGGGGGAATGATAAGCGTTCCTCACTCAGCAAGGCGGCGATCCTGGGCTTTCCATGGGGCATAGTAAATGCCGAGAGTGGCTCTGCGAATGAGTCGAGGCTCATTTTTGAAGAAATGACTGACGATGCGATCCTACTTTCAATATCCCTGTGACTGTTTCGAGACATCTCTGCCCTGGACGCGGCTGCAGACACCGGCGGCCTTCGTATTCTTGACTGTTTGAGAGCGATCCTCTGGGCCTTTTTCTGGTGCGATACATCTTCTCCCTGTCTCAAAACAACGTTTCGACGAATCATCTCACCCTGAACCCACGCAGCTGAATTATGTGCCTCGTGAGCACTCGGCACCTGCATGGCGTGGGATGAGACGGCTCAACGGGAGAGCGGGAGGATGTATCGACCCACTTGAATGCTTGGATATAATCTGAAGCAGCTTCTGCGCACTTGAATTGGCTACTCTGGGAGCAGAATCGCAGGCATGACTGGCAAAGAGAGGGCAGGCAAGGTCACGTGCTTTAGAGCGATGCACGCACGCGTCATTTGTGCTGCGCAATCAAGCTTGCCTTTCTGCCCTTCCGCCTGTCAAACCAGACCTCTCGATGGAATATTCGCCACTTAAAAAGGCCATTAGAGGGGAGGCTTGGAAGCATAGTCTTAGCGTCCACTGCAGCCTCCACCCACACCCTTCTTGTCCCTGACCACTTGCAAAAACAACGACGATGCCGAACACGAACTCGAACGCAAGGATCCGCCCCTGGCGTAGTGAGCACCCTCGCGACGCCCGAGAGCATGGAGAACCTTCAAGAGCTGCTCATTCGCGATGGCGATGAGCACCACTGTTTCTTCGATGACCGCGGTCTCCACACCCACCTGCCACAACGGTCAGTCAGTCAGTCTCGCCGGCGCTCACTTCACCCTGGCTTATTGACTCATGTCTGCACCTCGAACCACAGCCTCATTGCTGCTTGTGACATGGGAGGCTCTCCGCAGCTGCTGGAGATCTACGCACTGGAGGCGCGAGACCAGCGTCCCCTCGGGTTGTCCGGGCCGCCGCTGGACGATGGGCGATGGCTTTCGCGGCTCGGAGATCGGAGGTATGTGTTTCCTTCCATCGGATACTACAGCTAACCAGAATGCAGTGCCTACACCACTTATCTTGTGTTTTTTCAAGGAGAAGATCGTCAGACACGGCGCGGCAAAGACCCTCGAGGATTACTTGATGGCGCCGGATGCCAACTTCAACGGAGCGTCGATGCTCGGGCTGCTCTTTGGGGGTGCGATGCATCCCCTCATTCACATCGGGGTGCGCTGCATCGCAGCTGTGGAGAGACTGCCTCTGATTTCCCCCTTCTCTTCAGTGTGGTGTGGAACTAGGCCTCGACTCCTTGGTGGCTCAAGGTACGGGCGGGCTCTACCCCTGTCGCACTTGTCTGATGCATCTATAGGTCCTGCGATGTGTGCTGGAACGGAGGACGACTTCTCGTTCGTTGTCGCCGACCACTGGTCAACGGCGATGCCCAAGGTTCCCGATGTCCCCACCCAGGGCGTCACGCTCTTCTCGATTCTCCGCCAAATGTACGAGTCGCCCGACCTGTTGTCTCTCCTGCCGTATGTCCCGAACGACGCCAACGGCGCTGGATTCTACAAGCTCTGCGACTCGCGCACACGCACGCATGCGCTGCGCGGCTTGTATGTACTCACAGTGGTCCATCGACACGACGCTGGACGGCGCGGCGTTTGACGCGGAGATCGCGAAGCGCGTCGAGAAAGCGTACTGGCAGGCGATGCTGCTCGACTTCTACCTCATGCACACGCTCACCAGCGCAATCGTCCTGCCCCGCCTGCTCCGTGCGCTGCCGCAGAAACTCCACAAGGTCCAGCTGCTGCAGGGATACGCCCGCACTTGCGCACTGTGGGTCATCGCGCGCGGGCGGCCCCGTGTCAACCCCTCGCTGCTGATGTCGTACCCCAATCTCCCTGTCCCCGCGGGCCTCAAGACCAGCACCGCTACAGATCCGTGGGCCCAGCTCATCACCAACGCGCTCCAAGACTTTGACTCGCATGTCGTGAAGACTGTCCGCGCGTTGTATTCCGGGCACATTCACTTCGGCAAAGTCGCCGCGGGCCAGGTCGTCGGTGCGTTCGACGAGAGCGGCAGGGAGACGCACCCGGGTCTTTCGAAGCTCGATGGGACGGCCTGGATCCGCGCGGCGGGCATTACCTGCTCGGCCCTTGGCTGGATGGGATTCGGCGAGGAGGCGGGTCGGTGGGATCGCAGTGTACTCGGCTTGGATGCAGCTTGGGAGTAGGCTCAATGAAGTGATGGTCATGCAAGCCTGTATGAATGATATGTATAATTGTATGTGGTAAATCTCTTGGTCTGGATGCACTCTTCCCATCCGTTTCTCACCCACGACTCACAGAAACCCCGCGCACTTGCGAGATTGTATCGAGCTTTGCTTCATGCCACGTCTGACGCTTCATGAATCTCGGCCCTGGATAGGGCTCGCGCACATATATAAGATACCGTGAGATGACTCGAGGTCTCATGCATCTCTAGGCGATTTCATCTCTCTCGCCTCTGGCCCTTTGGACCTAACGTCTTTCCTGCTCATCTCTGCTGCCCTTTGCCCGTCGTTCGGAACGCTCCCCATGGACACTGCGTCGGGTTGTGATAAACGTCGTGACCAGCAAGGAGTTCTATCCGATCAACGTCTTCGATACGCACCTGCAGGCTCAATCTAGCTGATCCCATCGAGGAGCTGCAGGGCCCACACGCCGACGTCTGGGTCTTCGTTTTCTCGAGATCGAACAAGGAGTTCTTCGTCGTGCATCTGGACGGCAACTGCTTTCTTTCTGAGTATTGTGGGTGGCCTGCCATGCCATGTGCCTATGGACGTCGATCGCATCCGCGCATCTAAAGAACCGATGCTGTCGTGCAACGATTTGACGATTCCCGACACGTTGCTCCCTGCCGTTCTCCTCTCGCAGTCGCCTCGCCCGCCGTGCGCTTCTCCCAACTCGAAACCTCGTTCAGCCGGACCCCCCCGGCTACACCTCGCCCGCGTGATCTGCACCGGGCGCGCACTCGGGTATGCACTGGCCTCCGCCGACGTCGGCGCGCACTGCAGTCTAGAGCCGGGTAGGTCGGCGGAGCGTTTCGCACATGCGGACGCGCTGCGGGGCTATTGGCATAAGCTAGTTCACCGGATCGTTCTCTTGCAGCCCATTCCTGGCCGTCAACGAGTTCCGAGACGCCTGCTCCAAGCAGGATAATCATAACCCTGAATACGTATCTACATATACACAGAACATTAAAGTAGGAGGATACACAAGGAATTAGCAGGTCGTAAAGTACAGCGTAGAGCTACAGGAGATCAGAGTCCATCACTGGTCCTTGCCAGTTTGAGCGTCAGCGTCGGTGCAAATAAGTGAGCGGTTGGTCCGTGTCAAGCGTTTTGTATGGGTCGTGATAATGATTTGATGTGGATGGTGAAGGGGGCCATTTACCAGCGCTTGGAGGAAGCACTGGCAGATCCCAGCATAACACCACCCGAGGTGACGCGCGTGACGCCGCCTTGGTAGACATAGGTCTGGGCTTTAACAGCGGGTGAGGGCGACCAGGTAGCGACGTCCGAGTCGCAATCTGAGGCTGAGATCAGTTCGTCGCAATCCGAATCCGAGTCCGAGTCCGCGTCGAAGCCGTCATACGAGTAGAACGACGAAGGGGACTCGACGTCTGAATCCGACTCGACAGTGGATCGCGACTCGTACGAGTCCATATCCGACTCCGAGTCGTCCGAGTCGTCCGAATCCGAAAGCTCCATCGCATCGGGCACGCTGGCCGCCTCGAGCTCGAGCTCGAGGCGGCGGCTGTGCCGGACACGCGCAGAGAGCAGCGCAGCACGCAGCCGTGCGCCGGTGTTCGCCTGCAGCAGGGGGTGCGCGACGCCCTTCAACACGGACAGCGGCTTCGCAGCACGCGCCGCCGCGGCAGGGGCACGCGCGCGCCACAGGTCCACGAGCGCAGCGTCGCCGATGCGCAGCTTGACGTAGTCGGGGCCGTAGAACAGCAGCACGCGTGCGGCGCCGCCGCTCAGAATGGAGAACCAGGAGGACCAGGGGATGCCGGAGCCGTTCGACGCGGCGCGCAGGGGTGCGGGGAGAGTGCCCGTTGCCGGGGTGAGGATGAAGGTCGCGGTCGACGGGGCGGAGCGCAGGGAGGCGGCGAGGATGAGTTGCAGAGACGTCACAGCGCCAGGAGAGAATTTGGCCAAGAGACCACGGGAGAGGAAAGCAATAACGTGCGGGAGTGCGGTGGACATGCTGGATGAGTGGGAAAGTTGCTTGGTGATGGAACGTGGATGAATGGGTGCAAACGTGAATTGAATCGTGCAGAGGACACAAGAGAGTCTGAGTCTGAAAAGAACGTGTGAGCACGCATACAGCTGCACCGAACGAGACTGCCCGTACGCGTAGAAAGCGGAAGTAAAACGGGATGCAAGAGAACGTAAAAGGTCAGACGTCAAGCGTTGATGAGAAGAGCGTGGCAGATAAGAGAGAAACAGTAGGGACGAAGAGTCTGAGGTTTCCCCCCATCTTCGCCTCCCTATATATACCCGCCGCCGCGTGAAAGCATCGGGCTTCGTGCTTCTGCAGGAACAAAGAGGTGATGCGAGAGCGCGGTAAGCCAAATATGACCAAAGCTGCTATTGTCCTCTCAATCGGGCATCTGTTGTATTCTGCTCCTTTGGGTGCTCGCTTTTTGTTCTCGGTTGCGTGATTCTCGCGTCGCAGCTACGCCGAGACTGATGTATGCTCGCGTACTCTGTCTAAGGTGATAGGGCGCAGTCAGAAGTCTGTGGCTGATGTCGAAAAGCAGGCGGAAATCCGATGGGTTGTCAGGCAGCATCAACCAGTTTCATTCTAGACCAAACCCTTTGCAGACTGGTCAGTCTACGGCTATTCGAATAATCTTGGAAGTGTCTTAGTGGGATTATTTCGGCGCTGAGCGGGATCGAGCGCATCATCGATTCCGGAAGAACCCTGCGCGGCTGCACGTGAGGACGACCGATGTCACGAACTTGGATGGCAATGCACTTATTGCGCGACCCTCCGTGAAGGGTGGCAATCCTGTTTCACTTTGGCATTCATGCTACACAGAAATTCGTTTGCGCATGCATAGAGGATGAAAGCAAGGCTCCAGCCGATTGGACCGGTGCAAGTCCAAGTTTTGCACATTTCGAGGGGGAGTAGTTCACTCTTAGATGGTCCTGACACTCTCCTTTTGACCAATCTTTGGACCATGCCTGACAAAGTCCCGGAGCGCTACGCTACCTTATCAATAGTGCCTACCGTTTCGACGGCTCTGGTGCGCGGGGAACGGATGGCCTTGTCGGGGATGAGAACATGTGAGTTGTTTTTGCCGCAGTATTATTCTGAGGAAACTGCACTTCAGTGACAGAGGGGGATCATGATGCTGTCAGGTCAGCATCGGCCATTGAGTGCAATTCGAAAGCGGGCCGGGGCGTGTGATAACCTGATGGGCTCGAGCCCGCATCTGCTCAGTCAGCTTTGACAGCCACTTACATATGTGCTAACGTCGAGCGCAGATTCGTCATGCCATTGGATGCTCGGCATTCCTCAGCAACGCTGGGGCATTTATAGATCTCCGAAGCTAGATAAATACTAGACGGAGAAGGTGCGTCAAGTCTGTATCAACTCCGACAACGACGACACAGGCGACATGAAGTCTATTACTACTGTGCTTTGCGCGGTCTTTGCGTTCAACTTCATCGCAGAAGTCCTTGGATCCCATAACTCCAAATATCACCTCAATTCATTCCACATCGATCTCGGTGCTGGAATTCCACATCTCCAAACCCTGCTCAACGTGACGAAGCTGCCACAAGCACCGTTATATCCCGAGACTAGCCCTACTTACGGTGTCGATCTGAATGACCTAAAAGCTTGGAAGGCAGAATGGGCGCATGGGTACAACTGGACGGCACAAGAGGTCTTGCTCAACAGGTGCGTGTGTCGTATGGCTTTCTTGTGTGATTCGTCGATTGAACGTGAGTACCAGATTTGATCACTTTACGGCGCAGATCGAGGGTCTCTCCATCCATTTCGTCCACCAGAAGTCCCACGTGAAGGGTGCCGTCCCCGTTTTGCTCCTCCATGGCTGGCCAGGTTTGTGAATTCTTATCACAAGCCGACTCCTCCTAAGCAGTGTTCTCTCTGCAGGATCCTTCTATGAGTTTGACCCCGTCATCGAGTCTCTTACGGAAGCGTTCACGGACTCCAACGGATCCACAGTCGCGTTCGACGTTATTGTTCCCTCCCTGCCCGGATTTGTTTTCTCATCTGCACCGCCCTTCAATTGGACCGTGGATGACACCGCGCGGGTCTTCAATACGCTCATGGTTGAGGTACTGGGGTATCCTACTTACACCATTCACGGGACTGATTGGGTCTGTATTTCTCTGTTACCTTTTTCCTAGCAGTCTTGTTGAATCTGACTCGTGGATTGCAGGGCAGTGGTGTGGCGTACTCGCTTTACAGCAACTTCAACCAAACCGTGTCCGCGGCGAGCTTCGTCTTCCTGCCATTTTCCTCGCCCACCTTCGCCGAAATCGCCGCGGCGAACGTAACACTCACGCCGACTGAGCAAGTCACAGAGGCCCGTGGCACCAAATGGTCGACTATCGGCAACGGTTATTTCCTGGAGCAAACCTTCAAGGTCAGTGCACTGAAATTTAAGCAGACATGATCCTGATATTCTCCTAGCCCCATGATATTGGATTGGCCTTGTACGATAACCCTGTGGGACAACTGGCCTGGATCGGGGAGAAGGTCAAACTCTGTGAGTCTAGAGCAGACTCTCACATCCAAGTGCACTGACTGATCGGTTCCAGGGTCTGATCCCCGTGCCGGTCACTCCCCTTCAGTCTTGAACTCGACTGCCATCCTCAACCTCGTCTCTCTGTACTACCTCACGGGGACTTTTGAGTCTTCCGTCTGGATATATGCGCAGAATCCCAACGGATTCCGAACGACGTACACGAAAGCGCCCACGGACGCTCCGCTGTTCTTCACGCAGTACGAATACAATGTCGGACTGTGGCCTGAGCAGTGGGTCGCGCGGGTAGGTAACCTTGTTTCCTATAAAGGTGCGTTCAAACTCCAGAGCGAAGTGTATGTCGACTGAAAACCTCGTACTGTGCAGTTGCTGATTTCGGCGGGCATTTTGCGGGGTTGGATAATCCGCCGCAGTTTTTGGCGGATATTCGGGAGATGGGGCTCTTCCTCAAGCGATAATTCAAGAACCGGGAACTCAGAGGATGTTTTAATATCACGGAACACCGGCAAAATGACTCCCAGGACTTAGCCAAATCTAGAGTAAATGAAATACAGAGGTGGGGCTCTGGGCATTAAACCAATCCGACCCTACTGTGAACAATTTGAGTGCAAAGGCATTATTCTGGACCCCACCTATCAAATCAGACTAGTGCTGGGTAGCAAAAAAACAGTAAAGGTACGGTGTGATATCATTCAATGTATTCCATCACTATCCTGTTCCAAGTGAGTGCATGATTCTCTCCGCTGATTCACTGGTTTTTGAAGCCTTTTGGAACCAGAGTCCTTTTTTTTCTGAAATGCGAAGGAATTGAGAAATAACGATAACTGGATCAACTGATAGATATCTACTTAGTACATTCTCTCTGTCTGATGCTTAAGCTGTCCATTGCAGTCATGGCACAGTGGCGGAGTGGTCTAACGCGACAGACTTGAATTCCAGGTATCTGTTCCTCTCTGAGGGCGCATGTTCGAACCATGCCTGTGTCGAATTTCTTTTCCTTCTCGTAAAGCTCTATTTACTCTCTCGTTTCATCTTCCCCTGTTCCAGTCGTTTCATTTTGGCTTCGTATAACCCAAATCTGCACAAGAACGCGTAAAGACGAGCACACATATTCACTCTACTTTTTGACGCTTGCTCCCAGCATTCTGCAATCCCTCGAAGGCCGTCCGCATCTCTTGGTTCTCCACCTCCAGCTGTGCTCTCCTCTTCTTTCCGACCTCGACCCTCTCCTGCGCCGCGCGGATCCGCTGATCCTTCTCTTCCAGCTCAGCCTCGCGCCCTTCCGCCCGACCTCTGACCACTGTCTCCTTCGCCTCGCGCTGAGTGCGGACCTCAGTGGCCGCTACCACGGATGCCTCCAGTGCTTCGCGGCGAAGCTGGCCGAGGTCATGCGCAGAGCAGGCAGCCCGGTGCTGTTCCTTCAGTACGACGAGCTCGGCGGCCAGTTGGTCGAAGGCAAGTACTGCTTGGGTGAGCTGGGCGAGGGACAGGTATGTCGCTGTTTTGGTCGTGGGGAACGGAACGTCCGGTGGGAGACTTGTGGTCGCTGTGAGCCCCTCCTTGGTTTCCGCATCATTGGCGTTGTCTGGGTCAACATCTCCTGCCGGCTCGTCATCCTTTGCGCTGACAGTCGGAACCTCAGCATTAGCATTCGATTCGATGTGGACTTCCGCGGGCGGTTTGCGTGGCTTCTTCGGTCTGGAACCCGATGCAGCTTGTGACGGCCTTCGAGGCGGTTTGAGAGTTGGTTTGAGACTAGGTACGGGGGTCGACGACATCCCTCGCTTCGCGGTCGGCCTGATCACTGGTTTCGGGCGCGCGGACAGCGTTGGCCGCGGCGTCACGGATCTCTTCGAAGACGATGCGACCGGGGCAGACGCAGACTCCGCGTTTCCTCTGCCCTTGTTCTTCGCGCTCTGCTGAGCTGTTGTCGACGATTTGGCGATGCCACCGCCCTCCTCGTCGGTGGGTAGGTACGAGAGCAGCACTTCGATCCTGCGCAACCACTCCTTCGGTTCATCCGCTGCTTCGTATGCCTGGAGGAGCAGCTTCACCGGCCGCCGTGTGCCGTCCTTGACGCCCTTGAGGAACGCCCTGATCTCCGTTCTAGGGAGCACGCGCAGGTCTGGTGGAAAGATCCAGCCGCTGTAACCACAGTCAGTCAGCGTTGTCATTCAGCATAGGAAGAATAGATGAGGATGGAGGGCAACGAGAAATCCAACACGATGGAAGAAGAATCTTTACTTACTGCTCGCCTCGAGGAAAATACCGCACGGGGAACGCGATCTTGTTCGCGCCAGGGTGTTTCACGAGGACGCTGTCGGGGAGAGTATCCGTATCTACGACCATCCCAGGCCATTCCTGGTGTCCTCGCATGCGCGCCATCACGACGGTGCCGGCAGGAAGTACAGGATAATCCCCCGACTTGAGCTTGCGCCGAGCGCGTTGATTGCGTATATGACGCGAGCGGTTGCGGTCGGACATGTGAGAGGGAGGATGAGAGATGGTACTGCTTGTGCGCAACAAGAGTGATACAGTCCTATGCCACGCTGGGATGAGACGCGCCTGTGGGTGGGGTGAATGATACCAGGGGCCCTCGTGACTAGTGTGACTAAGCTACTCACACGCTTTGTCACACTCCCCCTCACCTGAGACCTGAAACTCGCTCAATTAGAGTGTATATTGCGTACAACGTAGTACATCGAGTAGAGAGTTGTGAATGAATCCGAATGCAGCCAGCTACATCCCACGTTCCCAAAGCTACAGACTAAGTGAATATCTCGACGGTCAAAGCGACCAGCTCCATTCGATTCCTCGGATCAGCATACGCATCACAGCCGCGAGTCGCCGCGACACTGAAATCAAGGCCAAGTTCTCGACATCCATCCATCATCGGAACTAGCTCTTCGCCGTCTTCAGTCTGTAGTACTTGTCCAACCCTTGCCTCTCTTTGCTTGTCGAAATCTCGAAATCATGCGCGCGCGCACCACACACCTCCTCCTCCCACTCTTTCTGCGCGCGCTCTCCGCGCTCGCCACGCCCATCTCCTCCGCCTTGGCCGCCAAAGAAAAGAAAACACACACGCATCCAGAGCGTTGGTCGCCCGAATTCTGGGAGAAGATCAGCATCAGCGCGGTGCTCGTGCTGCTGGGCGGCGTCTTCGCGGGCCTGACGCTCGGCCTGATGGGTCTCGACGAGCTGCACCTCAAAGTCCTAGCGGCCGCGAGCGACGACGAGGACGAGAAGCGGAATGCCAAGAAAGGTGTGCTGCGTGGTCCTTTCGAAGGAGCGACCTTAGCGCTGACGGGTGGACACAGTGCTCAAACTCATGCAGAAAGGCCGGCATTGGGTCCTGGTAGTGCTTCTCCTCGGCAACGTCGTGCGTATCCAGTTCGAAGGCACCAGACCACCCAGCGCTCACATTCGTTAGATCATCAACGAGTCTCTCCCTATCTTTCTCGACAGCGCGGTGCGCAGCTTCTAGTCTCGCAGCCGGATGACATGCTGACGCGTGGTGCGCCCGATGCAGATCGGCGGGGGAATTGCGGCGGTGGCCATATCTACCGCTATGATTGGTGCGTTTTCCGACTCCACTAGTACGCATAATCCTCATGCTGCTTCTCCAGTCATCTTTGGGTTCGTACTTTCTCGGCTCCGCTCACATTGATCAGGCTAACGGGGCAAAATCAGAGAGTGAGTTTCTCTGTTTCCTTGTCAGTGGCTTCTCCCCCAACCAAGACACGTCTAGAATCATTCCACAAGCTGTCTCTGTCCGATATGGTCTCGCCATCGGGGCAGCGTGTGCCCCATTCGTCCTGGGGCTCATGTATGTCTTTGCGCCGATTGCTTGGCCGATCGCCAAGCTCCTCGACACAGTGCTTGGTGTGCATGAAACACACACGTACAAGAAGGCGGAGCTCAGGACCTTCCTCCAGGTGCGCTTGCTCATCATGCCCAGCAATGCACCTGACGCCATAGTAGTTCCATCGCTCGGGCGACGAACCACTGCAGGAGGACGAGATCAGCATCCTCAATGGGGTGCTTGAGCTGAGCACGAAGAAGGTTGAGCGGATCATGACCCCTATGACGGTGGGTAGATTGGGCTCCAGTCCTTCTCCCGTCCATGAGACTTACCACCGCTCCACAGGACGTAGTGACTCTCTCTGCTGACGCACTGCTCGATGATAAGCTCGTCGAGAACATGTTTGTCCGTTCCTTCCTGTTGTTGTCCGAAGCTCACCTCGATCGTTTGTAGTCTACTCAGCGGATACTCGCGATTCCCTGTCCATGAGCCTGGCAAACCAGAGGCTTTCGTTGGTCTCTTGCTTATCAAAAAAGTAAGGGTATCCTCTTTCTAAGATCGTTTCGCTTACGCCTGCAGCTCTTGAAATACGATCCCTCCCAAGCTTTGCCTGTGTCCAGCTTCCCGCTCTCCATTCTCCCCGAGGCGCGGCCAACTATAAGCTGTTTCCAAGCTCTCGACTACTTGTACGGGTTCATCCTCGATGCATTCAGCATCGTGTTACTGAATCAAGCACAGCCAGACTGGACGGGCGCATCTTCTGCTTGTGAGCCACACCCCGGGCAAGCCTGGCGGTGCGATTGGCGTGCTCACCCTCGAAGGCAAGTGAACGTGTCTTCACGTGTCAATCGAAATGAATGAGACTCTTTGTAGATATCATTGAAGAGATCATCTCAGAGGAGATTGTCGATGAGACAGATCGCTATGCGGATAACGTCTCAAAACAGCGGGCCAAGCGGGCCACGACTGCCGATGTCATGCGAGGGTGTGTTTCTGCGAACTATCTCCTCAGCATGTTACAAACTGAGGGCATATCTAGAATCGTGGAGCGTCGGCGAGGTGTGTCAGTGGCCCGGTCCCTGCGGTCGGATCTGGACGAGAACGAGCACGGTGGTGGTGAAAGTGCCCCGCGGAGTCTGCCGGACGAACGTTCGCCGTTGATTGATCTTTCGACAAGTCCGCGTCCCAGGCGCCCTGCAGCCTTGACTCCTGTGGTGGAGAATGGCCAGGGCTATGGAAGCACGGAGTGATCTGTGCGTGTACGCTACCGTCCTTCTGTGTAGATCGTCCATTAGTTCTCTGCTCTGCGTGCCAGTCGCATTTCTCCCCGCGCGAATCGTTTCTGCAGGATGCACTGAAGTAAAGCCTTGACTTGCTATCGCTCTTTCCATCTATCCCGGGAGCAGTGACGCATTCTTGTTGTGAACCTGAATGGTGATGGACAGAATCCGATTCCGACCAGTGAGGTGCATACTCATCGACATTCAACTCTCGCGAGTGTCGCGAATATGCAGAATGCGCTCCCACGTCGAGCCCTCGGGCTCTCACGGCCGGAACTCTCCACTTGCACAAGTCTCGGGTTCGGGAAATACTGGAAGCATTCGAGCTGGATCCTCGTTTGATCCAAAGCTTTCCTGGCACCAGGAATTAGGGCTGTTCATAACCATTATCACTCTCCGTCTTTGTCTCATGGGTGCAGAGTTGGCTGGCTGCTGCCAGGATTCCGTCATAAGAAGGCTCATACATCATTGGGACGGACCGTCGGCACCTGTCGGCCGTCGGGTCCACCCTTGCTCCGAACGACAGCGAAGCGGTCTTCCTCCGCTGAGTCTCTCCCAGAGCCTGCTTCCTCCCCTTCTCCCATGGTCATCTCGTCAACCCCCCTGGCCATCGTTGATGAGGAGTCTCGAGATAGAAGCCGTTTGGCCGGCGCCGAGGCCCTGTTCCCCTCGACCGTGTTCTCGACCCAATGTCCGCCGTTTGACTGGCGCCCTCGAACGAACGGAGCTGTCCACCACCTCAGGACCCCTTCCTCGGTAATCAGGCCAGGCTCCACTCCGCCCGCTTCCTGATCGCGCCGTCCCCTCCCAATCCTTCTGTTGCACATGTTCGTGTAATCGCGCGCGCATTCACGCCACCGCGACCGTGCTGTGCGTATCTGGACCTGTGCGAATGCGTCATTGCGAGGCGTGGAATTGGGGTGAGCGCCTTACGGCCTCCTCGACAATCGTGTCCGCAGGTGTTGGCTGCAGCTCCATTAGGGATGGACGGCAGAGGGATAAAAGCGCGTACTGGACGAGGGGGAGTCTCCAAGCCCACAGCTACAGTTGAAGCTCCTCCTCCTCCTTCCTCCTCCTCACCCTCCTCACCGAACCTCTTCGTCCGATCTCCAAACTCCCGAGATGTTCACTAAGACCGTTGTCCTCGCTGTGACCCTCGCCTCTGCGTTCTCTGTCGCGACTGCGGCAGCCGCAAACCCGGTGTACACCGGCAGTGGTGAGCTGGACCGCCCCCCATGTGCCCACTAGCGCTGGCTGACCGCCCACTCCGCCAGCGATGCTCGGGTTCTACCAAGTCACGGCGTGCGACTGCCCGCCCTGGAACGGCCCGTTCGCGGCTGCCATGCCCATCGAGCTCACTTACGGCTTCGTCTGCTGCAACGATCAGATCACCGTCACCAGTGCGTTGTGCTCTCCCTCTCCCCGCGCTCTCTCTCGCCCTTGGACTGACCGGTGTCTCCCAGTGGGCGGGGTGAGCACCACGGCTGTGTTCTCCGGGTACTTCGATGGCGGCGAGGGCACGCAGAACATCGCGCTGAGCCCGGTCGCGTTTACCTCCATCTCGGGCACGCCCCAGGCCGTCGAGATGGACGACGCAACCTGGTCGTTCATCTGAGCGGAGCCGCGCAAAAATGCACGAAACGGGTATATAATTAATTACTCGGACGGACATAGAATTCTCTTCGTTTGTTCGCGAACACTGCAGATACATACTTAGATTGCGTGCTTTCTGTCTCCTGTTGTGTGTGTGTGTGGAAATATGATGATTGTTCTCACATTAAAATGAAGCTCTCACGGAACACTTGAGGGGATCGAAGCGCCTCTCAAGCAAGCTTCGTGTGAGACACGATTGGAATCGTTTTTTTCGTCTCCGTCTGAATTCAGCCTGTTTCAGCTGGCCCGATTGTACTGTATCTCTGTGCCCTCGCAACGACGAACAGGACTGCTGCCGCCTCTGAGCCGCAGTCAGGCGATTCGGCAACTCGAGCCCCATTTGCTTAGGGCCCCATGTGTATGCTCCTCGAGCTCATCTTTCTATCTCCTCAGAACCAGTTCAAAGTTTAGCTTACATTCCAGGACGAAAGTGCTGAGACCGATAGTCAATAGGAGCATTTTTCTTTCTTTTGCGAACATCGAGATGAATATAAACACATCTTCCTACTGTAAGATAATCAGTTGATCGGAGCCTTCTTTCCCTTTTCGGACATCTTCAGATCTATTCATATTGGGCGATCTAGAGGATAAATGCTGATGTGTTCGAGAAGTCAACTATTTTCTTATATGTCGTGCACCCTTTCCGACGATGGAAATGTCAACGACAGCACTCTTGGTGCCTCGCACATGGTTGGGGGTGTCGGTGCATGAGACGGGTCGCGAAGCAACGCACAAACGTTCTCTTCGTGATTGTTTCTAACCAATCTGTAATAGATAGGAGAGCATTGGCACTTGGCGAAGCTTGTGGCAATTCGAATCGATGACTCGTCTCGATGCATTGAAAGCCAAATCATAAAAATGCGTCCTATGTATACAGATTTCCATCCGAAAACAGCAGTGGGGGCCCACAGGCAGACAGGCTCAGAACCTACAATACCATTCGTCGTGTAGTGCGTCTATGGCTGGATATAGAATACAAGTCATAACATTCGTAGCATCAGTATACATATCGGAAGTCCCGATTCTGCTTATCCGTCAGGTCGAGGAATTCCTACAAGCGAGGAAAGCGAGCCAGTCAGCACACTCGCGGAAAACGGAAAACGAAAAACGGAAAACGAAACGCACCTTGTCCACTTTGACGCGCTCGACCTTGCCCTGGACGACCCGCTCGACGTACACATCCTCATACGCCGCGTGGCCGACGGCGGGTGGCTCGTTGTCGCGGCGCGCGTTCTCTCGCTTGAGCATCGCACGGAGGACCAGCACGATAATCATACAGCACGCGTAGCAGATCGCGATGACGATCCACGGGATGCGGTTCCGGGGCCGGTATTTCTGCTGCCACATGAACGGACCGGCGGAGTTGCCGATGCACTGCAGGCAGGTTCGTCAGAATGGCGAGGACTGAGGTGGGATGAATGATAGACGCACGTAGGCTCCCAGCATAATAGCATTGGTCGTGACCCGTTTCGTGTGTCCAGCTGTTGCCTGTGAGAGCCAGCTGAGGGACAGAACTGAAAAAGGACCGGATGAATACTGAGCTAAATCAAAACCAAAGATAGATCTCACCAAAGCCGGTGGTCCCGACACCCGTCAGCCACACGGAGAATAGAAGCCCGACTTTGTTGCTCCAGGGCAGGACGTTGACGAGGATCGTACCGAGGATGTTGGGTATGAAGTACACAAACGCGATTACTGCCCGGCTGTCGAAGCGGGCGGACAGTCGCACGCCGGTGTAGATGGTGACGATCTCAACCACGCCGTCAACACAACCCAGCAGAGTGGTGTGGAGCGGGCTGAACCCAAAGCCAGACACGATGAGCGAGCGCTGATTCCTGTCAAGAAAGACACACACACGTGAGCACTGGCAACGTGAAAAGTCAAATAAATAAAAGCCGAAGCACGCACGTCAAGCTGTTGGGAACGTTGTCGAGCATGGAGAAGAGCGCGAAGAGCCACGTCTTGGGGTCAGTGAGCGCCTCGATAAGCCTGCCATACAGAGTGAGCAGGCTGATAGTGGGGACGGAAGGACACCAGAGACGCACTGCTCTTTCTTGAAATGCTTGTTCTCGATACCAGTTTGGTTGACTTTGATCCGCATGACAGCCACGGCCCGCTCGTGCGGTGTCAGGAACCAAGCATTCGTCGGCGAATCCGGGAACAGGAACCTTTTGAGCCGCTTAGAACTCCTGCTCCCGGAAAAGGGGGGAGAAATGGGGAAGATTCGACGCACCAGAAGCAGACGGCCGTGACGAAGGTCATGGCACCCGTGATGATCATCAACCACTGCCAGGGCTCGAAGCCCGTCGTGTGGATGTGCAGAGCGCCGAAGGAGATGAAGCCGGAGATGATTTGGGCTGGGGTGAGGTCATGTCGGGGACTCTGACCATTCCAGGTACTTTACATACCAGTGCCGTTCATGAGGACTGGAGTGTTGGTCAAGGGGGACGGCACCAAGCAATCAGACGACAGACTCACACCAGTAGCCCACTCGCAACGTCTGCTCCGTCCGCGTGTAGAACATAGAGGACACGATCATAAACCCAGCAGTGATCGAGCTGTGGTGAGTGTGCTCAACAAGCGAGCGATGGTATACTAGCTGCGCGTCACGCACCCTTCACACATGCCCAGAATCAGCCGCACGACGAACAGCCCACCGAAGCTCTTGCACGCCGCATGAGCGCAGAGCGCCACCGACCAAGTGAAGATGTTGATGCTGAATATGGGGTGCGATGTTGAGCGGTGACACAAACCATGATCGATGGATCATCCCATCATCATTCGAACCCGCGCACCTCATCCATTTGCCGACGGGGAACCGCTGGAGCGCCAGGTTCTGGGGAAATTCGAAGACGAGATAGCTGAGATAGAAGATCGTCCCGAGCCAGTTGTACCTGCGATAAGCGTGAGCCCAGGCCGCTCCGCAGCAGCCGAAAATGACCGACTGGTTAGTGCTGATGTGCGTCCCCTTCCTAGATGCGGGTGATAAGATAACGATGTCGTGATGCGGGGTATAGGCAAGCGACGCACTGGATGCCAAGGATCGCGGAGCTTCCCAAGGTCGTCTTGTCTGTGCACGGATGGGGATGGGGGTGAGCATACAATGCGCGGGCAGCCGCTTTCCCCGGGGGGCCGCACCCATAAATTGGATCCTGCGGAGCGCCGCTGGGTCAGCCACCATGCCATGCGGTATGCGAGTAACGTACCAGTACAGTACTAGCACAGACGCAATTAGTGTCAGGATCGGGCTGCGTCCGTGCGCGAGAGATGGGACATACCGCACATCAGCGGAAGGATGTGATAGTCGATCTTCTTCCTGGACGATGGTTAGCAGCGGCGATGGAAGCGCAGGATGTGGTAGGCTCTGATGCGCAGAAAGACACCGAGGACACACCTGACGCGAAGAGCCTCGTCCGGGTCCAACGTGCCGTGCTCGCCCGCCACAAGCGCTGCACCCGTGTCCACAGCGGACACGGATACCTCCACCCCCGCGAGGTCGTGCAGGCCGCCCTTCTCGGTGATGCCCGATCCCTTCTCGAGACTGGACCGCTTGTCGTCGTCTTGGCTGCTGCTCATATCGGACGAGATGAGAGGAAGAGGGACAGGAGTGTGACACGCTCAGACTCAGGTGGGGGAGGTCACACCGAGCTACTTATACTCACCCGAGTGTGGGAGCCTAACGAAGCTTCTTTTTGACGCGATGCCATATACAGGAGGGCCGTGGTAGGTCATTCAGCCGAGAGCTTATCCATCTCTAGCTTTTCTCGCGCCGTGCAGACCCTTCGATCGCATCGCGTCCTGAGAATCCCGCGCTGTTTGCAAGGTGATAAGCCGACATCGAGGTGTTTCGGGCGAGGGACGGTGGGGTGCAAATTGAATGGGGTGTCGCGGATGTGGCGGCCAGCGCTGCGCGGCATGCAGATCCCACAGCGTGAAGAGGGCACGGTTTGCTCGGACTGCGAGTGAATGCGAGGCTTTGCGAGGGTCGCTCTCCGGAGTCTGTAATGGAGCGAATCAGCAACTCGCAGAAGCCAGGGCACGATAAGAGCACCACCATGCCCGGCAAGATTGTCATTCGGCTGTTAACTTCTCGATCTCGCGGTCTGGAATCTGTCTCAAAGTTGAGCAGCCAGCGATAGTATGTCCAGATACTTCCTGTCGGTGGAGCGGTCATCAGGAGGCGGCGGCATCGGCACGGAGCACAGATCGGCACGGAGCAGCGGAAGTATCTGTCTCTCACAGCCGGAAACAAATTCAGCACGACGACGACTGTAATGCGGATGCCAGCTAGCACCAGGGGAGAATGAAGGTACAGCCACATCTCGTATCGCTGATTGCCGCTATCTTCGCAATGTGCATTGAACAACGTTCGTTCGTCGGCTCAGTATGTCCGAATTTGGTCGGCTGAACGACCCGATCTGAGTAGTCAATTGACACCGCACATACCCGTAAGAGCGGATGTGCGTATGGCGAGTCGATATGTACATAAATCCATCTGATGCAACGAGGTCTGCTCGACCAACGCGATGTACTACGATTCATTCGAAAGTGACGATTTTATGGAATTGTTCTGGGGAATGTCTCCGAGACTGAATAGTGTACCAGATAGATGAAAAATAAGTTCCGGGAGACTATAGATACATGGGGCAAAGTCAAGATACGTAGATAAATAGCGGGCTAGAGGGGAAATGGGATAGCCGTACTGTAAGGGAGATGCCATTGCAGCTTGTTGAGAGCTGGTGGGGGAAAGCCAAAACAAGCAATAAAGCCAATGATGTCTTCAGTGAATTGCTGGGGCCGCAAGGTAACGCGTCGGTGATTCGATGCAGTCGGTGGTAGAGGGTGAAGGGACCGACCCCTCGCGGCCATCGGTCCGACCTCACGTGAATTTGTACAGCCACATTAACTCGAGCTTGTCTGAAGCGGTCATGCGCATCAACCTTTCTTGAGACCGAGCAAACCCGCAAGTGTGGACCCATCTATCCCTCAAAGCATCACTCGGAAGCGCGAGCACTGTCTAAAGCAGATACTCCTGTGCGCATCCCCGGGGCCCGCACTCGGAACCTTTGACTGACCGTGTGCAGCTGGTAGGTAAAGCTCATGTGATGCAGGGAAGGCAAACCACTCGTAAGGACGCGCATCGATCTGCAGATTTGAATCCTGCTAATTCATATCCTGCCAGGCAGTGGGAAATCTCCGTCGGCTAGTAGCAGCATCTTCATCAGCCTAAGACTTTGGTGGGCAGAGTCCGCGGTTACTCATCGGAATTTCCAGCCCATGACCATCCGAGTTGAACGTCCATCAACTGCGATTCGAAACATTTCGCAACAAAATTCGGGGCGTAACAACATTCTAATGCAAATATAGGCAGCTATGTCCTGTTATTGAGTCCGGCGGATTCTTGATCTCGCGTGTCCAGTGCGAACTGGGGTTACTGGATTTGCTACGGTCAACACAGGCCGCTGATGTTCAGTGCTAAAATCACATTCCTCACACAGTTCGGTCATTTGCTGCTGGTGAAAATCCCTGTCTACGTTGGATCTTGGACCTCAGGATATGGATGGGACACCTCCAACGACGCAAGGTCCGACGAAACTATCATTGTGTTCGAATATTGAACTATCCCTAGGGGAACTCCGTGTGTACATGGAAATTAGGCATCTTCAATCGCCATGGAGCTCGCCAAGGCGGAGTTCAAGCACGTTATTTTATTGTTGACGAGAGACACGGTCAGCGATGCCCATGTATGCCGCGTTGTTCGCTTGATCGGAGTCCGCCCACAGCTTTTGTATTTAAGCCTCAGAGTATCGCTGGGGGAGTTCAGCAGCCTCCCTCCTTTCCACACAACTCTTCCCACTCCATTGAATCATGTTGTCCTTCACTTTCGTTCTCTGCGCGGTCGTCGGTGCCAACGCTGCTGCGGTGCGTGCATATGTCGTTGCATTACGATGACTGGAACTAGTTTTCTGATGCACGCGCATCTCGCAGATTTCATCGTCTCTCGTCGACGTTGTACCCACGAATACGCCTGTCGGAACTACCACGGCTGACACGATCACAAGCAGCACGGTGCCTATCATCTCGAGTGACTTCGTCTTCCCTGTTGCTCCCACGACTCAGATTTCTTCGTCGTTCATTGACGTTGGGCCCGAGACCACTCTCGTCGGAATCACTACGGCTGGCGCGGTCACGAGCAGCACGGTACCCATCATCTCGACCGATTTCGTCTTCCTTACCACTGGTGTCTCCACGTCCTTCATCGACGTTGGGACTGCGGAAACTCCGGTCGGAACCGCTACAGCTGCAGCGATCACCAGCAGCACGGTGCCCATCGTCTCGAGCGAACTCGCCCTCCCCACGACTGGTATCTCCTCGTCCTTCATCCATGTTGGGCCTGCGCAGACGCTTGTTGGGGCGACGACCGAGGCGACGATCACGAGCAGCACGGTGCCTTTCCAGTCGACTGAGACCGTCTTCCCCACCGCCGCTCCGTCGGTCACTGGGGGCTTCGCGGTGTCGGGTGTTTACACGACGTGCATCGCGGTCACTTTCGATGGCTCGGCGACCGCGCCGATCCCGAGCTCCAGCGTTGAAATCTCCGAGGTCAGCACGGGTTTCGTGCATTGGTTTTGACACCGTGGATGACTCATCCATCGTATCCAGACTGTGGTTGAGTCGCCTGTGCCTGCTCCCACGAACGTCGTGAAGCGTGCGATTGTCAGTCCAAGTTCCTCGCACCTCAGCGCATTCTGGATTGCTCACTGCTGGTTCGTATAGACTTCCTCTGTGGTTTCTTCTCCCGCTGGGACTTCCTCTCCGACCACCGTGGCGACCACTTTCTCCACACCGACCACCGTGGCCACCACTTTCTCCGCACCGTCTAATGTGCGTCCCTATCTCTCCCATCTGTGCGAGATCCTGACCGTGTATTTCACTAGTCGGCCGTGGTCGGGACCCCGGTCGTTTTCACCACTTGTCTCGTCTTCCTTCCCACTGCGTCTGCCACCATCAGCAGCACAGCAGCTGGTACCGCCGCAGTGCACACCTCGACCTCCGTCGTTGGTGCCTGATTGCTGACTTCGTCTCTAAACGGGGAGCCCAAGAAATATTGGATACCTGCATCGGACCTTTGACACATTTACTTACTTGCTCTTGGACTATTCAATCCGTCTTTATATTCAATCCGTCTCTATATGGACTCTAATTTCATTTCTCCCGTACATCTACCCTGCTTGCAGAGCTTTAGCCGTGGCTACTTTCGAAGAGCCTTACACATCAACTAGATTCTTCATGCGAACTTCTACATTTTAAACTTTTCTGCTGCAGCTTCGCGGGCATTTCGGATTGAAGGGTCGGTCAAAGATATTTGCTGATGATAAGTGACCCAGCGGAGCATCTGTTGGCCATAGATTCTGGTGATCTGATAGCACACAGCTTCGGTTCGTAGTCTTCTAGGGATGGGGAATAGCGGTCTGGAAAGGATGAGGGCATAAATTCGAATGGCACATTACTATCTGTGACTACGCAGAATTTGATCACATCTGGGCGGCAGCCAGTAACTGCACCGGCGTCCTCGGCTGTCAGGCACAGTGGCGGAGTGGTCTAACGCGACAGACTTGAATCTCAGGTATCTGTTCCTCTATGAGGGCGCATGTTCGAACCATGCCTGTGTCGGAGGAGATGTATAGGAAATTTTTGCACCTCCGCCTGTTGTTCGCGATGATTACCCGGTCCCAATACGTGCTAATATCGGGATTACCTCTTTGCTAAGAACTGTCCTCCATGCTGCGGAGCAGGAAACGCGTTGCATAGTGTAATCTTCACTGTATGTCCCACAGTTTACGAGATACATGTTTCGCACGACTTTCGAGCGGTAGATCAGTCCTTATTGTCTACACCCGCACCACACATGTATACATTTTAACGATATTTGAAACTGCTCAATTCCCCGTCGGAAGAGCTCTCACAGCATAAAACTAAAAAATCCAGCTATGAGACAGTAGCATTGCCAGCAAGAGAGACCGGCGACACTTCCATATACGCCACCGTCAAGGGCACATTCCTTTGCCTAACTCTCGTCTCAACAAAACGCAAACAGGTAACGACAGCCACGTCGTCGACGGGCTCCGGCGCATGCAGCTCCAACGTGCGCAGACTCGGCAGAGCCGACACCCACGGCACGATGGCGCGGACAGCGGAGATGACATGTGCATGGACGACGAGGGTGTGGATGCACATCGTGTGCGCAGCGAGCTCGAGAAGGTCAGCCGGGATGTCTGCCGTGCGTGCACTCGCGAGTGTGATCCATAGGTCCAGGGACAGATGCGTCTCAGGCCGCAGTTGCGCAAGGGTACTGAGAACCGGTCGGGACATTGCCGAATCTTCGGTGAACAGCGGGCGCTGGAGGGTCACCGAGATTGATTTCGGTGACGGGCCGATGGAGATGAGCCCAAATAGGAGTGGGAGCATGGCGGAGTCGGCGACCGTAATCGTGGAGAGATGCGGGAGCGACAGCGGCTGTATGTCCGGAGCCAGTGGACTGCCCGAGAGGGATGAAAGCAAACGCAAGCATATGAGACTGCGATGATTGGCCAGAAACGCAGCCAATACGTCCAATGGCAGGGGCAGCTCGACAGACAGCGTCTCCAGCACCGGCAGGCAGATACGCGGGAGGATCTCACGGTAGACCTCCAAGTCAGAATCCGCACCAATCGTAAACCGCTTCAGGTCAGGCTCGAAATTGACCTCCACCGCGGTTGACGAGATCCAACGCAGCTGGAAAGCCTCGAGATGCGTCACAGTAGCCACCCTCCGATCGTCCAGCCGCACAGAAAGCAGGGCGGACTTGTCGGAAGTGTTTCCCCCCCTCGATGTCAGACGCTTGAGTATCGACCACTTCCTCCGCGGCGGCGGAGCGTAATACGTCCACCCATCGTTCGGGAGACGCTCGTACCGCACGCCCCATGTGTGCAGACACGTCGGGTGCACGGGATACAGCTCACCACGCAGCAGAACACCCATCGCGTCCAGCTGCCCAGCACCGACCCTCCCCTGGGAACAGAACGCCTGGACGATCCCGCACACGAGCTTGACCAGCGCCTCCGCGTGCGAGAGACGCAAGACGTTCGAGCGGAAGGAAATTTTCAGCTCCGTCACGTGTGTGCGCCGCAGCAGGTCGAGGAGGTCTGCGAGGTCGCGGTGCACGGCGAAAACCCAGAACTGCACCGTCAGGCTTGGGATCGCCGCAGGAATGCAGCACGCGAGGCGCACGACACGGAGCTGGTGTGCGAACAGAACGAGCGGGGTGGGGGTGGGGCATGCCGAGGAAGAGGAGGCGAGGGAGATGTTGCTGCGTTGCAGGTGTTTCTCGATGCAGATCGTGTTCCATGCTTTGCAGACTCGTGCCCCGATCAGGAGCTCTTGGTCGGGGAGCTGGCGGAGGATGATGTCCCAGAGTTCGAAGGGTAGGTACATGGTGGGGGGTCGCATGAGTGAAGGCGGAGAGCGAGGCGGAGGTCGTGCCAGTGCATGACGCTGTCAGAGTGGCAGGGATGGGCGGCGGTGTAAGGCAGACGGGCACCTGTCAGATCCTGTACGATCAATCACTCTTCCCGAATGAAACCGCAGTGGCAGGGAAGCCTTTCCAACGCACTTAGCCTGAATTGGGCAGATGGTGGACTAAAAGTACGCGCCAATGCCCAAATTAGAGGCCGATTTGGCACAAACACCGGGAAAGGACAAATCATGGGTAATTTGATTCCCGGAGTTTGTGAGGAAAACAGTCAAGGTACTGATGGATGGAATTCATGCACACCCGCGACGAGTTTACGAATGACAAAATGATTCGCCTCGGGATCGAACCGAGGACCTCTCGCGAAATGGTAATGTGAAGCGAGCATTATAACCACTAAACTAGCGAACCTGGGGCTGTGACGTCAATTAAGTTCTGTATTTCGTCCAGAAGTCACCTGTGCTGGTGCGGTTCTGTTCTCTCGGCAATCCGCACTGCCACTTAGGACCTTCTCTATACCCCAGCAAGTCAAAATGGCGTTGAGCACTGCTGCACTTCGAGAAATCGCAAAAACGACGCTCGATGCCGTTTCATCCGGATCTCTTGTCGTAGATGGGCTCGCCTATGACATCCGGTCAAAACTCGATGAATCGCGCTACCAAACGGCGTACTACTCTCCCAGTTCTCTCTTGTCGGCTTGGTGCTCCTCTCCGATACCGACAAGTACATCGAACAGCACGAATCAACCTACCGTGATCGAGTTTCTCGAGACGACGACACTCGATGCGACACGGAAGGCCGCGCTGAAGGGCTACAAACGCCCACTCGGGATGCTCAACTTCGCGTCCGCAGAGCAGCCCGGCGGAGGGTTCATCAACGGCGCCAACGCGCAGGAGGAGTCCCTGACACGCAGCTCGACGCTGTACGCGTCACTCATGACGCCTACCGCGCAGCAATTCCACGCACTGCACGCGGACGGCGAGGGCGAGGACGGGTTCTACTCCCACGCGATGGTGTATTCGCCGCATGTGGTCTTCTTCCGCGAGGATGATGGGCGGTGGGTGCCGCCGATGGAGGCAGAGGTCGTCACGAGCGCTGCCGTCAATGCGGAACTTGTCTTATCCCAGAGTGCTGCGCCGCATTCCGACTCGTACGAGCGGATCAGGAAGGCGATGCACGAGCGCATGGCTCGCATTCTGTTTCTCTTCGAGCGCAGGGGCGTACGCAATATCGTTCTCGGATCGTTTGGGACCGGCGTCTTTCGCAACGATGTGGACACGGTCGCCAGTATCTGGGCGGAGCTGCTCGTCGGGAACGCCGGGAGATTCTCTCGCTCGTTTGCGTACGTGGCTTTTGCAATTCTGGATGCTCCGACGTATCTCCAGTTCCGCGGTGCTTTCGAGCGGGTTCGACGGCATAGGACTTGATTACATCCTGGATTGATTGTCTGCTACTACTAAGTATTCCATCACGACACGATTCTATTTGTGTTCACCTGGAGACTTGTCAACGAGGTGAAGAAGGCGGACAATGGGGCCGACGCACGTAAGTGGTGTCGATTTGGTCCACATTCTGCAGACCCATCAGCTGCATGCTGGTCTTCATCTCAGTAGCGAACAAATCGATCATCCTTGCTACACCGGGCTGGCCCCAGATGTTGGCAAACATCGGCCTGGATAACGTCATGCACTGGAATCAAACACATGCAGAAGACACTGACGATCGACCCAGCCCGACGGCCCTGGCACCCAGCGCCAACAAAATCAACGCGTCAGTTCCCCGCCTGACACCTCCATCTGCATAGACCTCCATCCCGGCGAATACCTCCGGCGCGTTTTTTCTGATATCCATCAGCACCTCGACCGACGTGGGCACGCCATCGAGCACCCGTCCGCCGTGGTTTGAGACGTAGATCGCAGGAAAGCCGAGGTCGAGACACGTCTTGGCGTCCTGCCACGTCTTGATTCCCTTCGGCACAATCGGCAGCGTGGTCAGGTTGCGGAACGCTGCGAGCGAGTTGAGGTCGAAATTGGCTGCATGGCCGGTGCTGGGGTTCGATTTCAGCTCGTCAGCCGCATTACTCCGTTACGCAATAACCGCAGCGCACTCGGAGGGATTTGTAAAACGCATCGACCGGGTGCGGATACCGTTGATTCCGGTGTTATCAACGGTCAGGAAAATCGCCTTGAAGCCCGCAGCCTTGATGCGATCCAGCTCGTCAATATTGCGGCTCTGGTTGGCCCAGATGTATTCCTGATGGAACATGATCTGCCCGGGCAGGCCCGCAGCGGCGATCTGTTCAATGGAGAGCGTTGACGAGATGCTCGGCTGGGATTAGGCCATGAGCATGCGCGCGGATGCCTACTCGGTCGCTGACGAACCGTATACAGGATCCCAGCTTCCCCCGCAGCAGCAGCCAGCGACGCTTCCGCTGATTTGTTGGCATGTCCGGCATCCGCGGCTGGAGCAATGAAGAAGGGCTGCGAGAAGTTATATCCAAGGATGGTGGTGCTGAGACAAGCTTCATTGAGCAGCAATCCTGGGTCGAGAACGGGACGCACGACGTGACGGGATTTTGGACGTTGCGGAAACTGTACCCATTCAACTTGACCTGCGGCCAGATGTTCAAGTTGGCCTGGTAAGTCCAGTCGTTGAGTGCTCCCGTACGAAACTCCGCTGTTCAGGCGATTCAACCAGGGCCGAGACAACGACGACGACGAGATCATCCACACACACCATAATGCTTGGGAGAGAGCGTGTTCTTGGCCGCGATCTGTATGTCGTTGAGGTCGAATATGGTGGCGAGTGGCGGAGCAACGCCAGTCGTCCAGTTGGAGGTGTCGAGCCCGGTGTCGGGGAGACCCTCCGTGTCGATGACCACGGCGCTAACGGTTGAAGACAGAGCGAACAGCAGGTAGAGCGAGTGCAGCGATGCCATGATCAAGATGCCCCCATATCCCCGCCAGACGTTTTAATAAGTACCTGCTCTTACTCACTTGACAGCTCCGCACATCAAGATACAGTTAGCACTACTATCTAGCTGTAGTTTGGCTCGAGCAGTAGAAAAGGGGTTCCTCGTGCTTTCGAAGCCGTGTAGTCCTCATTAGCTAAAGGACGTCAACACTCTACACGTGGATTTCCATGTGTGCCAGTTGATAGAACGTCGTGACGGACGTAATCGGTGCGTTCGAAGACGGAGGCCTATCGCGTATTCCGTGAATGATGACATCATATGTACTTTCTATTACTTTCATTGGTGACTGCACAGATGGATATCCTGTCGGAATAGTCTTTTGCCGAGGATTGTGTTACCGGGATTGAAATGAAGCCATTAGTAATGCTAAAGTTCTCAGAACTACTCAAAGTACGGTTCGGTGTAAGAACAAGCTCAACATTGGCGACATTAAACCTGCCACGAGCGTTGATCTTAAGGCCCGCCTAGCTCAATCGGCTAGAGCGTCAGACTTTTACGAATAGTCAGAGTATATCTGAAGGCTGCGAGTTCGACCCTCGCGGTGGGCTACTGGTTCCATTTCTTTTGTTTCACTTTAACCGAGTCTCGCGACTGCAGGTTTTTTTTAATTTTATAACCGCAGTTCAAATGCTTTGCTTTCCGCTGCTTGGCGGCTTTGTCCTGAATATGCATATACAGTAGAGTTGTTAATAAGGAATAAAGTTGGGAAGGGTCCTGGCATATTCCTTACCACGGGTATTCCGTATCACATATTCCATTAAAAAATGTATAAAATGGTCGTTTTGGTGTATCTGCGGCTTCTACTTGAAGTACTGACTGAGTTCCGTCTGTTTCTTGCCCTGTTCAATCTCCTTGGTGAGCCCAACGTGCATTTTACGAAGTTGAGGGCCAAGGGTCAGCGTCGAGTCGAGATCAGGTCGGTGTCGAGCGATCTGCTCCAGGAGCTTTATTGCCGCGATGGCTTCCTTCTTATCAAACGAGAATTCGGGCTCCTCCTCCTCCTCGATCTCGGCCTCGAGCTCCTCCTGATCAACCCTGCGCATGTGTTGAATGATCTCATTTGTGTTGTCTCCATCCGCAAAGCCGAGAACACTGGATCCCGGCTCTTGTCGTTCAATGAGTGGATCCAGAATGTCGTCGAGCAAAGGCAAGATTCCGCGGATGCAGCGCTCCGTGGCAAGTGTTTGAATGGTGTCAGACAGCGCATCCTCGGCCGCGCGGAGATGGCGATTGCAAGCAAATCGGCGCAGAGGACCCTTGGCAGCAGCTTCAGTCTGAGCGGCCATGAGATCCCGAACGGCAAGCTCAGCCTTGATTGAATCGCCTTCGCAGGCCATGACAGCGTCAAGAGGCGCATTCCAGTCCTTGGGATAGTAATCCGTGCCAAGAACGCGTTCAAGCCCCTGTTCTGCTTGTGGTAACGACATTTCGGTTGTTGCGAATTCCAAGATCACATCCCAGGCATCACTGTTGGCCTTCGCTGATGCCGGCTTCTCTGGCGACGCTGCTGGCTTGTCCATTTTAGGTTCCTCGGACTCAGAGTCGGAACTGTCAGGCGCGTTGGGATCAACAAAGATTTCTTCCCATTCGTCCGTTTCCTTGGGTGTGATTTTGGTGTGAGTCCAGCAATTGGCAATGGTTGAAGGCGTGACATGATTCCACGCATTCTCTAGCATTCGCATACCACTGAGAATATCAATCTTGAAAGGCTGAGGATCATTGGACTGATAGAGATCGAGTGCTCGGATGGCCAATGCGCGGCGATAATGAGCTTTAAGACATCGAATAATTCCAGCATCACATGGTTGCACAAACGACGTCATGTTGGGCTCCAGGAACTCGACGCGGATGTGGCTCGGCTTGTAAGTCATCGCAACATGTCCCGGACAATTGTCAATCAAGAGCAGAATGTGTCGCTTCTGGCGCCGCATCCGATCATTGAGCTTTTGCATCCATTCGGTCCACAGCTCTGCCGTCATCCAGGCCTTAGCATTGTTGCGGTAATAAAGTGGTGGGTCCATGTTTGCTGGATTGACTCCTCGGAATACGCGAGGCTTCTGCGATTTCCCAATGAACATGAGATCAAGCTTCTCTGTTCCAATCGAGTTGCACGCCACAAGAGCAGAAATGCGAAACTTGTCCCGTTTGGTTCCGCTCATGTGTGTGGTGCACAGTGTGCGATCCGGGGGCAAGGATGGGAGGAAACTGGTCTCATCCGCATTCCAGATGTTCTCGGGGGCATAACGGGAGGTGAGTCGAACCAAGCGCTTGCGTTCAACTTCAACAGCTGCCAGATCAACAGAGCCGGCCTCGCCGTGTCTGCGTCTCTCAGACAGACCATGACTGCAATTGAAATCAGCACTGTTAGGGAAAATGAAAAGATGAACACACGCTTTCTTGAACGACTCGAGCCATCCTGTTCCTCTCAGGCGACGCTCTTCAGGAACATTCAGAGCAATCTCGAGCCTCTTCCGTTGCTCGATCAACATGGCACCTGTCACAGCACGATTCTTTTGTTCCATATCAAGTGCCCAGAGACCAAGGCCCCGATCAACTTCGGGTGAAGTGACAACGCGCTCACGCTTGAGCAAAAGTGCGGCAGAGTTTTCAGCAGCAAGTTTTAGAAGGGCAGCCTTCTTCTCCGGATTGAGGTGTTTTGAAAGTGCGCCCTGGGTGAAGAATAGCTTCCCTCCCTCGGCATTAGATCTCGAGGCAAAGAATTCTATGACAGCTTTCTGCTTTGTCCCCGGATTTTTCTCGGCATACTGGATAACCTGCAGCCAGTCATAATTTGTGAGATTTTTGCGCCCTTCCTGCCCCAGAATAGCAGATGAGCGATGGGTTCCGTTAAGCTTTGGGCCAGGCTTCACGCGGGTAGCAGCTTTAGCACGTGCCTCAGTGGGATCACGGTCCCGAGCGCGGACAACACAAGATTTTGCAGTAGGCTCAACAGGCATAATGGATGGTATGGATGAGGGAGAAACAAAATTCAGGGCTCATGCATTATATTCTCACTTACAGGACTCATTGTTCGCCCAAAAAGCCATTCCAACCTGTCAGAGAACACCTGCCATCACCCCTAATAAGGAATATCCCCGCGACAGAAATCACCTGGCCGTATTCTTTATTCCGGACGACAAACAATGGAATATTACTGCCTTCCCAACATGGGAAGGCCGATTTTCTATTCCTTATCACGGATATTCCACATCACATTATTCCTTATTAACAACTCTACTGTATATCGAAGTGTATGTTCAAACATCGAACCAACCCTGCTGCTGCAGATCGTTTTGTGATAGGGGGTCTGCCTGTGTTTCGACGAATCGAGTGGGTGCAGGCAACTACCAGTTACTTGAGTCACGGGACGCAAGGCCATTTTGTCCCTTCTCTGATTCTGTACGTCATTCTTATTCACGATTAACCGGCTAGCCGTCTCTAACCGTCTGGACCGACGATCATGCCCGTCTCCGACTCTGAATCCGGCCCTCTGCAGAGTGCCCACGTAAAAACCCTTTCTCCTACCCCTGTAGAAAAGGCTGCACGCGCGCGTGATTGATCACTAAGTAACCGGCTTTTGATGCCGGTACCGAGTGCTCCCCCAAAACAGTGCCGCCGCCCCACAGGATAAAATGACCGCGCCGACCGCAGTCCGACCCCGAGCGCAAGCGCATTCTCTCCTCGCCTCCCTGCCGCTCTCGTCTCCCGTTTTTGCGCCGCTGGTGCGCAAGATGAGCGCGAAGATTCTGGATTTGCTGGCGGGCGTCGTGGGGGCGACGCCGCGGGTCGCGAAGTGGCTGGGCATCGCGCTGTTGGTGGTCAATGCGGGTGGCCTGCCGCTTATCTGGCACTGTGCGTCCCTCTATCCTCCCTCAGCGCTCTCGCCGCTCAAGGGAATTTACCCCGTCCAGTCCGCGTATTCAGCGCCCTCTTCGAACTGCGCCTGGCCCAGCTCTGGCACAACATCCGACACATCCACCTGCCGCGCAAACGCAAGACCGCCGCGCTGGAAAAGTTCTTCGAGGACCGGCAGCCCGTGGGGCTGCACCCCTTCCGCGCCAAGTGGGCGGTGCGCGGGTTCGTCTGGCCCTACGCGTCGGACTTCAATCTGCACATGAGCAACTCGTCGTACGCCGCGGCGCTCGACTCGGCGCGCTTCCGCTTCGCGCTGGCGATGTTCCCCCTGGTGTTCAAGACCGGCGGGTGGGCTGCGCTGGCGGGGACCCATTTCAGCTTCATCAGGGAGATACCGATGTTGAGCACGTATGAGGTGCGCGCGGAGGTCGGTGCGTGGGATGAGAAGTGGGTAAGTGGTGTTCTGGCTCGTTGCATACCCGGTCGCGTTGCTTACCCATGAGTTGCGCGTCACAATAGATCTGGATCGTTGCCCGCTTCGTCAAACCCGTTTCCAAATCCAAGAGGAGAGGCAAGGCGGGGGAGAAAGCACCTGTCAATGGGCATGTCGTCAGTGCCAACGGAAACGCCGATGCGGTCGGCCAAGAGCTCCTCAAGAAGGCGATCCGTCTGCACGAGGAAGACGGGGCCGACGTCTACAGTGCGCACCGCCGCTCTTTCCCTTCCACCTATCTTCTGACCCCCCCGCCAGCGATTACCGTCTCGCAGCTGGTGTACAAGCAGGGCCGGATCACGATTCCGCCCGCCATCGTGCTCGCGACGAGCGGATTCTTCGCGTCTGCGGAACACCCCGCACGCGGCACGCCAGGCCTCGGTGTCCCGACCAACGGTGTCGCAATGACGCGCGTCCCACCCCCTTACTGGGCCCAAGTGCAGGATCTGGCGCGGGACGTGAGGAAGCTGAAAGCTTTCTACCAGGGCGGCTGGCGTGATGTGCGTTACTCTGTGGCTCGCTCTTTTTTTTTGTCTGTCAGCTGCTGATGGAACCGGGTAGTATCCGCCCGAGCAACGTTTCTGGGAGTACGCATTCGACGCGTGCGAGGCTGAGCGCCAGCAGCGGCTTGTCTCATTTGCTGGGCAGGCGCCTGCCGAGGGAGACTACGGCAGCGCAGGCAAGCTCGTCGTCAAGGGCGGCTTGCTTGGTGGCATGGACGGTCTCAAAGCGTACATATAAACTACTTACTGCACCGGAGTGTGATTCTGGTTAGATTTAGAAGCTCCTTATAGACATGTGCATAATGTAGACTACTCCTTATTCATGATCAGTCACTTGGGCTCCGCTCGCTCTCCACCGCCGACAAGGCGCGACGCTCACATCACGCAACTCTCCGTGTTCGGTGAGATCATACCCCCGGACGCAATGTGTCATGACTCGACATTACGAGGCAGAAGAAGGCTGATGACTGGCATCTCCCAGCTGGTCAGATACGCATCGCAATGCAGGGTCTCTTATGCAGTTGCCGTCGTACTTGAGTGCCAGATGGGAGTCAAAATGAAGTCATTCACCCACTGTGATATACCCGATCTTATGGAATGTGGCTCAGGCTGAGAGAGGACGGAATCGGACGGAAGTTTGCTCAAAACACTACGAAAAGCTCCAGAGTTCGGTGAACCTCACTCAGTCCGATATAGTGCAAATCAACGCTGAAGACAGCCGATTTGGTAGTTCAAATCAGCCTCTTGAGGCAGACTGACCTCGTAGACAGTAGCCGGGCGCCTCGCTGGGTCTCATGCTCGCAAAATCCGGTAACGCGCGGCTGACGTGATCCGTTGCACGGCCACTGATACGTCAGTCAACCACCGTGACCCTTGTGCTCGATCCTCCCACTTCGGAGATCCGCAGGTTCCTCACTCACAGCTCGCGAGGCACAAAGCTAATCCGGGCGGCTGCAATTGCCCCAACCCACCGTCTGGAGTGCATGCTCGCCCCCCTCCCAGGCTGTTCATACTGCGACCCTGGGCCTTGAGGACTCCGGAGCCCGAATGCACAGATTTTCCAGCGATCGTCGATGTGGATTGGATTAGATTGTGATGGTGCAAATCGGATGGGACTCGACCGTTGACAGGTGCCGGTCCGCTCAGGGCCGCCGAGCCGCGGCTGCCGGGATCTCTCGAGCTTGCTTGCCTTTGACAACCTTGGCGAACGAGCAAGTGGTGCGCCTGTGTCGGATCTCTGACATCCTGCCTTCTCGCTCACAGATTTCCTTCCATACTGATATACGAAGCCCCAATCGCGACGGCGCGCGTTGTCGCTCAGATACGGCAAACGACGTCGGTGACACGGATGGGAAGATCGATGTGACTGGGATGATTGGCTTTCCGGACATTCCCCATCAGTGAATCTTGGCCCACATGGACGCACGGAGGTCGCCTCGTCCCGCCCTTCTCGTGCAGCAGGGCAGGGCGTTACGGTGAAAGGAAACCCCGGATTCCGGAAGCGCCCTGATGGGCGTCAATCTCATCTGCCTATTCTGATGTAGCTGCAGGCCGTTTTGTGGGTTGCCGGATGCCTAAAAACACATCGAAATGAGCGGATTCACCAACGTTGTTCTGATGAGTCCTGGATGGTGATGGGACTCAGCGAATGATGTGACGTTTCCGAGCTGCCATCTGTCATTGACGGACATATGCCGGCCTCATTGCGCGGAATTCTCCCTGATCGTGCCTTGGGATTGGGCTGTCGCGGCGAGGTTGAACGTCCGATGGGAGCAGGGACGGCAGAGAGCGGAGGCGCGGTCTGTGCTGTCTTGCCACGTTCTCTGGCACCGCCTTGCCTCGTGGCTGCACCCCGCCAATCGCTGAGTTTCAGCCGGAGTTAGCGCCATCGATGAGGTCAAGGCTGTGGTCCTCTCAGGCCTCGGTGCGCCATACTCTCATCTGGTTCCGTCGGCCGTTATCGGCGAATTTACTGCCAGCGCACGGCCGTTAATTAAATTCTGTCACCGGAGTGTCACGGAACACACACTTAGCCCCATATGGCATCCGGCGACATCACTTTTGCGGATGGTTTTGCGACTGTCATGCTTCTTTCGCGCTCACGGTCTGTCAGGTCAGATTTTGGAGACTTGCCCTTTCGGGCAGCGGATCTCCCCAGACCTTGTGAGGCAAGGCAGCCCCGTGAGCATCCTGGGACGCGTCATGAGTTGAAACGCACCCACGCATGGAACGGACGGGGTGGCACCGCTTCACGAACTTTAACACACCATTCTGCACCATGATGATTCTTGCCTAGTGGTCCTTGTTCTTTTTTGGCTATTTTCACCGCTCGGCTAATGCGCAGACAGGCTGTGTGTCTATCTCCGAAGATCGAATCGACATCAGGGCCGGCAGTAATTGGCCCACGCGAAGCGCTGCATAAAGCCAAGGCTCTCTGCAAGCGTTCAGCCACAGACCAAACAGCAGCCTCGACCCAGGCGCGCAGACACACTCCACCCTAAAACCGCGCCCGACGTATATTGTCAATACCCGACACATGGCCTGGTCGCACCGTGGATCCACGCCCGAATCAGCCTCCTCCTCCTCCCGATCGCCAACCCCGGGTTCGCCGTTCTCTGATAGCTCCGCCGGGTCCTCCCGCTCGTTCCGGGGCCGCACGGATCGGCCGAAAGCCAGCACGGCCACGCAGGAGGTGCTCGACAATGTCCTGCGCGTGCGGAAGACGTGGAAGACGCAGCGGGGCGGCGAATGCGTTTGGCCGCCGGATCTGGAGGCGGCATTGCTCGAGGGTGCGTCCTGTCCTGTCTTTCTTCTCTTCTTTCTTTCGGCGGCTGACGGGCTTTCCGAAGGCCTAGAAAAATACGAGCCCCGGGACTCTCGCGAAACGCGGCTCCTCGGACGCTTCCCTCGGCGAAACCGATTTATATCGGACTACATCTACGAAAAGACAGGCAAGCGACGGTCGCCGAAGCAGGTCGGGAGCCGCCTGCAGCAGATGCGGGAGTCGTGCGGAGGTGAACGACGTGCGTAGACTCGTTCCCCCCCTGCGGTGCATCCGCGCAGAGACGTTCGTTTATTCACGCGCGGTCCAGTGCTGCAGCTGCTCTCGCCGTTCGGGGCATCCTCGGCGCGCTCGCCCACGCCGCATTCGTCCGCGTCGTCGCCGTCCAGCAGCCCGCTTTCGTTACCCCGTCTCCCGCCGCCCGCCGTCGAGCTCGGGCAGGACTGTGTGCCGGATGCGGTCATGTACATCGATCTGATTGGCCCCGCCGACCCGTTCCGCTGGACAGAGGAGCCGGAGGACGGCCTCGTCGGCCTCGTCGGCGCGGCGCAACCGCGCCGCATCGAGGACATCAACCCGACGGTGTCGTTCACGTCGCTCTCGTCGATGGACGCGTACTCGTGCTTCACGGTGCGCGCCGAGGGCCGCGTGCTGCACGCCGAGACGGCGCCGCTGATGCAGATCGGCACGTCGCCGGCCGGGGTGGGCTACATCTACAGCACGGCGCTGGTGCCCAAGTACTGGCGCGTTATCCTGGGCTGTCCTGGTACGTTCCCCTCCCCTCCTCCCTCGCGCGAGTGATTTTGCGGCTGACGGACGCGGTATCCGTGCAGATCCGACCCGCTTCACTATCACCCACCTAGTCGTCCAGCACCAGGGCGCCGAGGTGCTCTTTTCTACGAGATACCAGTTCAGATATCGAGCGCCGCAGCGCGTGTCCCTCCCGGCCTTCGCTCTCCCGACTGCAGTGTTTGACGGCTCCCCCGAGAGTCTGGGCCTGGCTCAGCCGTACGACGCTTTCGCGGGAGGACCCATCCCGGACCTGTGGAACGGCGAGGCGTTGAGCGAGCCGCAGCCGCTCATGCCGTGGGGGTCGTTCTTCGACGGCACGGGCTTCGACATGGGCCTGGCCAGCCGGGTCTTCGAAGCCACCTCGCACTTGTCCGCCGCCTCCTCAGCGCCGATGCTTCCCTATGTGCGTCGGCCGTCTCACCAGTGATCGACGGAGAATGCAGACTGACTTGCTTGCAGATTCTGTGATCTTCTGTGCTCATCATCTGTATCCATATGGCCCTGTCTGCTCGACCCTTAATTCTGCTCCAGACTCTATACCTGCTTCCGATGCATCTGGAACGTTCCGCATTCGCTTCTTTACATCTCCCTGCTGTATCCATAGTTGCCCCTACCCCAGTACTGTATTGTGTATCTCTTTCTCTTTCTCCGCGCAAAAAAGTGCATCGAACCCGCATCATCCCTTTCGCGCGATCAGTTCGGATTCGAGGTCATTGTGAATTCGTGCAACTCCGTCCGCTTCTCTCGCGTCGGTTCGCGTCGGTAATCAGCCTCGCGATTATGTAGTTCTCTCGGAGGAAGGTCTGGCGGGACGGCCCTTCCATCTCGTATCAGTGCCGACGAATTGCCGCTGGGTGACCAAGTATGCTGGGAGGCTGCGGACCGATAGGACATCGCCCGTCGCTCAGCACCGGTGTAAAACAAAGTTGGTGCCACCGTCCCTGACTGCTGAGGCCCTCCGCATGATGGGAACGCGCTTCTCGCGGATTGAATCCATCAGAGCTGGTCCCCCCATAGTTTAGAGAGGTAGGTTCGATAAAATGATGATGCAGCTGCGGCCGGGTTGCAATGGCGCGAACCCCCGCTCGACGCAGTCTGGGAGGCTCTCTTCTCGAGCCGCGCGGCGGGATGCCTCGCAAGAAACAGGTCCACCGCGCCTGAGTGGAACGTGGAAGGGACGGTGAGCACGGCGAGCGCCGGCAGCCGCAGATTGTCCATAACATCGCACATGAGCCGCGCGCCATCTGCCGTGGCGGCCCATCCGGGGTCCACCACCACCTCCACGGTCAGGCGCGAGACGCGCTGGGGATCCACATGCACGACGGCGCACTCCCGGCCCGCGCGCAGATGCAGCGCGTACAGCACCGAGCGGACCGCAGCCGCCTCCGTGCCCCACGGCGCGTGCGCAACGTTGCGATCGGCGGCGCCTCCGGGGCCGGGAGCGAGGTCTGCTACGCGGAACCCGCGCCACGCGCGCGCGAGCCACGAGTACGGACCGGAGACGCGGAGCAATTCGCGCGCCGCGACGGCCACGCGCCCGTTCTTGACGCGCGCGGCGAACGTGCGCACGAGCTCGTAGATCGCGTCGAGTGCGGTGGAGGCGGTGTCTTCGGCGATGTGCAGGGACAGCCTGACGTCTGCTATCCTGAGATGGCGCGCGACGACCTTCTGGATCCCCCACAACCCCTCCAGAACATCGGCGGGATGGAAGGTGCATTCGATGGAGGACACGTTTTCGTACTCGAAGACGCGGGAGAGGCGGACGACCTTGAGAGAGGGCGTGTCCAGCTGGAGCTCGGTGGACGATGGGTCGTCTTGGCAGTAGAAGGCCGACGGGACGCCGCTCTGCTGGATGAAGGACCGGATGCATATGTCGTTCAATTCCCAACAGACACGCGAAACCAGGACGAGGGTGGACAAAGGCAGATCATCCAGGATGAGGAGCCACAGCTCGGTGGGGAGAACTGGGAACGGACCCCGCATCCATCTGCGCACGGCCGGTATGAGGGCGCCAATGGCATGCATGAGGGTATGGGCAAAGCGGGGTCTCGCCGTCGCCGGATGGCGGTAGTCCGCCGCGCCTCCTCGCGACACAGCCTTTGAAGCTGTCGACATGCGACGATCGTCGATCAGGCCCAGGCCTCAGATGCGATTCGCGTCGCCACAGTTAAGGACTATTGTCTTGCCTCTAAAAACTGCAGCAGCGGCTTTCGCTTCCTCGTACGCTCTATGGGAGAGACGCGAAGCTGCAGCCGGGGGTTGAATCTTACCCCGCCAAAAAAAGTGATCGCAACAGAGCCCTGGGTTCCGCCTTGGTGTCCCACCCCACCCTTCTGCTCCTCCGATCAGGAGGCGTCGCCGCCTGTTTGGTTCACATGCGGAATGCGTTTCGGAGTGTCAGCGGTTGAATTTATATCGTAGTGGGCCGAGTCCCTTTTGGTCCCTCGCATTGAAATTCGTATGAATTTTCAGATCCTTCCCACAGAAATACAGAGGGAGCACTGAGTGCCCAATTCCGATTGCGGTTCTTTGGCCAGATTCTGATGACGACAGCGCATCCTTGAGCTCCCAGCCGCAGTAGACGAAGAGTATTGAATATGGTCCAAAATCGATGGCCCTCTTATACAGAGCGGGCCATATCGAGAGCTCATTTGGCAATGAATTCATCTTCCCTACTTCCGGACAGCGGACATCCGTAGCCCAATTTTCAACGACAATTGAATGGCCACCGAATCTGCCACAAGCGTCGCGATTTCCCGTCAATCAATGATCAGCACGTGCCATCATCATCTGCCTCCAGACTCGGTGCTCGATCGTGCTTCTCCCGTCCTCTCACCCTGCTCTTCCTCTTGCACATACGTATCGGCTACCACAGGCTCGTCTCACATGTCCACAGACGACGTGGACCCCAAAAGCGTGCACCTCCAGGCCGAGGTCGCGCGCCTCCGCCGCCAGCGCGATGCGCAGGAAGCTGAACTCTGTCTCGCCCGCGCGCGCATCGCAGAACTCGAAAGCGCGAAGCACAAGCTGACGATGCATGTGGAAGACCTCGGAGCGGAAATCAGTGGGCTTAAGCTGTCGATGAATCAGAGGAGCAGAGACCGAGAGGGCGAGGAAGATGATGCGCACCGGACGGTAGGAGTGCCGGTATATGCGCGCTGGTATACACGAGCTGACCTTTTGCAACTCTTCTGGTCATTATGTAGGCCGTTCTGACTGAGGAAATGCCTTCCTCGCCTCCAGATACACAGGGCCGAGTCAAGATCGCGATGGTGCGTCCGAATACCAACGGGGTCGCCTACAATGCTTAGCCCATGGTATACACAGTCTAAAGACCCAGCACCACTGGGATCTCTGCCCAATACAGGACATAAGGTGTGTGAGAGCGATGCTGAGATGGAGAAGAAGCACGCGAAACAGAGTGCGACGCGTGCAATATCAGAGGACACCCTTGTCGATGTGTGTGTTGTTTCTCTGATTGCGGGCATCGATTTACACCACTCAGATTGTCCTCATTCCCAATTTTAACCACCCAGTGGAGAATCGGCAGCCAGAAGAACCTGAGCGGAAGATCGTCGAGCACGAAAGCGACGCCGTCAGCATCTCAAAGCCAGTCAAAATCAAAAGTGCAGATGTCGTCATCCCAGAGCTCGTAAGACAACCCTCGCATTTCTTCCACTCGCATGCTCAATACGAATCCCAGCCGCCAGTTCGTCTTGTGAAGCGAAAGCGCTACGTTATGGACTGCGTTCTGCTGCCTCGACCTTTCAAGCGCTCCCGGCGTCAGGACGACAACCAGTCCGATCCATTGACACATTCGCCATCCACTGAAACAAAGGATCCCCTTATCAGAGAGAAGGTATGATAGGTCATTCACACACTGACTCCAGTGCTTACTTAGAGCAGCAGCAGCAGCAGCAATCGATATCTTCGAAACGGGATCGCAAACCATCTGAACGCCTGCGCACCTCCCTTGCGGAACACCCTCCAGTTTCAAAGAAGCCAAAGCGGGCATTCACTGAGCTGCCCCGAATCCCTAAAGTCAAGAAGATCAAGGAAGAACTGGGCGCCATTGCTCTCCCCCCAGACGTCATTGACACGCACCTCACCAGCACCCCGGACCTGCGCATCCCCCTCGCGGACCGAATCGAGGTCTGGATCCCGCGCAAATTCTTGCGAGTCCACTTCGGCGGGAGCGATCAACAGCTGATCCAGCGCTTCAAGCAGCACGGCATGCAAGGCCGCATCGCCGTGTTCCCTGACCACAAGTTCAATCCGCATCTGCCCAGCCGCCCAGGCAAACCGGGCCTCATCTTCGCTTCCAGATCGGATGTCACGCGGTACGAAGACCAGCCGTTGGTGGTGTTTTGTAAGGAGCACGGCTCGGGGCCTGCGGTCTGGCGGTACATGGGGGACTACGAGCATGAGCAGCGTGGAGAGGTGACGAAGGAAATCTTTGGATTGCAGACTGCCTCGGTGCGTGTCTGGTTCCCCGCGACCGGCACTTCCTCATGTGATATCCAGGTCAAAGCGATCTGGGGTGCGCATATCCTGTGCAGCAGCCAGGTCTTGTATCGAGCGATGCGAGCCCGTATCGGACTGCGCAAACTGGGGACTGCCTTCGTCCCGGGGGACGCCATCGAGCTCGAAGCCGTTGCTCAGATCAAGAAGGGCCAGGGAATCCCATTAGCGATTGCGGACATCGTTGACGCCTTGTGTCGCGGTGACGAGGCGCGTTATGCTTTTGTTTCGTCTCCCAATTAGCCTCCGCTGACCCGCTGGGGCTCCCCCAGACGATCGGACTGGTCCGCATGAAGTGCGTGGCCTACAATGCGCAGTTCGCCGCCAAGATTGCCGAGCTGCACGCGTTTCCGTCCGAACCACAAGACGAGATCCGGGAGGACACTGATGACGAGGTTGTCGATGATGTTCAGTTGGACGCGGAGCCGCAGTCAGGTCGTCCGCGGGACGCGACGGCACAACACTCGCACCCGACCATTGCTTGCCTGCCACTGGAGCCCGAGAAACCCGAGGAAGAGGAGCAAGTGGACGAGCTGGAGGCGGACAATGCGCTCGACATCACCGGACTGACGGGTGCGCTTTCGGATCTGACGGACGGAGATTCAGACTGAGGGCACCAGCGACGACAAGTGCGAATGACCGCTCCGTTTTCTTGCCCGCTTTCCTGGAATGCTACTGTATTGCTCGTTATCTATCGTTACCCCCGAATGCCTCTGCTGTGAGATATGTGTTTGTACTACTCGCTAGTGTGATACACACTGTACTACTACTATGTTGCTGCCATCACTTGTACTGATTATCTTCTTGCTGTAACCTACAGATCGAATGCCCGACAACTTGTACATATGTGCTTTCGCTGGAAGATGGGGTTGAGGTGTCCAGGAAGTCCATGTATCTGACACAGGTCCGTTTCTCCCGATGGATTACTGAGGTGTGACTGGATGAAGAACGATGCGAATGAGCTCCAGTCCGTTTCGGGAGTCTTGGGCACTCGTCGACTCATAGGATCGGTCAAAGACCGTGCTCAAGTTTCATTGACGCTTGAGACGTGAATCGACGAACCTGCAGGAATGACGGAAATGGCAGTCAGCGAGTGGCAACTCTGTTGGAAGGCATCGTAACGCACTGAATGCGATACCGTCGCTGATCTCGATCATGGTCCCTCCTCGAGCGGGGGATCAAGAACATAGAGAAGCCCAACCACCGTCATTCGACCGCCGATGCCCAGAATGGCACCCGTGATTGCAGCGACACCAACGAAGACGTAGAGGGGGAACAGCACGTCTGCGATGTAGCGCAGGATCTGGTAGGGAGAGTAGAATATGATCTGATATGCGACCTGGCAGAACACGATGGCGGGAGCGAGGATATAGAGCACCGGGGGAATGGGTGTCGAGAGAAGAGAGATGGGGGCGACGATGCCGACCAGCGAGGTAGCTGCCTTTCCCGTGGCGATGACGAGACGTGCAATTCTGGCGAGCAGCAGTGCAGTGAGAGATGCGGCACGATTCAAATAGGGTGAGGCGTCCTGTGCGAAACTGTACGCGACCTGGAGACTCTGCCTGAACGTCATCGTGGACGAGGAATCCATGACACGACTCGGACGGGCACAGCAAAGCCGTCACTCTCTGACACGTCATGTCACTGCGTGACGTCTTTGTCCTCTGCTGCCCACGAGCCACCCAAAAACACCGCCCGAGCTGGTGATCTGAGATCTCCCCGGAATCCATGCAATTCAAACTCCCGGAGGTTACGCAGCGCGACCTCTCGAAGCCGCTTCCCTCAGACGTCGAGCAGCAAGCCATAGATGTACGTGGCCGTGACGGGGGGCACGACTGCGCGCGGTGACACGCGTTTCACAGGCCGCTAGGAGAGACGCGATCTTCGCTGGGATGTCCGCTGGCTTGCTCTCCGGTGCGTATTGGGTTGGGCGCTGATCGACGCTGGCTGTCTGTCGCTCAAGCTCATCTATCGTTTGGCATGTTACTAGCTGTCATTGGCTCGCGGTTCTTGAGATTCGGCCGCGTGCAGATGATCCTGAGTGGTCTGGGTGCGTCCGCAGTTGCTCACACGGCACTTTGCCAGCTGATTCGTGACCCAGGCTCCGGCGTGCTGTCTGGGTACTACTTCAATCAGGTCGATCAAATTCGTCTTCTCGGGACTGTGCTGCGGAACTCACAGATCGCATATCCCACAGGCATTCGTCTCAGCGAACATGATGGAGATTGTAAAAGAGCGGGAAAGACTGGCGTCTTTACCGGCCGAGAGTCAACCCACGCCGTGAACGGCCGAGGATCAAGCCTGTCGACTTTTCATCGTCATCCTGATCATTTCACGACCACGTCCGGGCGTATCGTCAATCTACCCTACCCCACAATTAATCGTTTCGGGTGTCACTCCCTATCTGGCATGAAACGCTCCGCCTGGTGTTGTTGCAATGTGGGCAAGTGTGGGAAGTCGCCGGAGAGGGAAGGGGACTTGAAAGGTCTCTCGCAGGTCTGGTTATTTCCAGTCCTTGCACGAGATGTGACTTGGCTTGTCAAATACAAGTGTACCCTGCATTCGGCTGTTCGCAGTTGCATCGGATGGCGTTTGTTGCGCAGCTTTCTGCATCCCTTGCGCCACTATTTGGCTCATGTGCTCTTTTGCCCACAGCCATGTGATGAGTTAGAGAGGACGACTAAACTGAGTTCATCGTCGGGTGCCTGCGTCTTTCTCCATCCGGCTATCTTTGATGAAGCGGCAGCCAGGAACTGTGGCCCATAGGTCCGATCTTTCGCCAATGTCTCGTTATTCCAAGCACAATCACCCTCACCCTCGGTGGTTCTGACCAATGACCTTCCAGTCCGTGGTTCTCCGACTGCCTACCCGTGTTTTTCCGCAGCAAACCGTGTGGTGATACGCATCGGACGGGGTGTCTATCATTCAAGTTTTCGGGCCGGCGTGGCTTCAATGCACGGAAGGAAACAGCTCCGGACTCGAATGATAGAGCAGACGCAGCATCGGCAAATTCTCTTTCCTGCGATACGCTGAGGTAAGAATGGAGCTCTCCGCTCTCCAGTCCCTCCCGTTTAGCTCTGTTTCAGCCTGCGGGTGAGGCAACTAGAAGCGCTGACTGGAGAACGATGTTTCAGCGTCCGATTGGAAGGAGATTCCCGGTCTTAGCCAGGGCTGTGTGGCTTCCTGCTTGCACCGCCAAACAATCGAAGAGAGCGTGTTCGTCACGCTGTAGAGTATCAGTCATCACCCGTACTCTATTCCGCAGCACGATGCACACTCGTGAATACTCTCGGGCGAAGGGGGAGGCTGAGCGGGCCGGTTCTATATCTTCAGGTACCCTGAGTGCGTGTGGTTCGTGTGATTGGATTAGCCCGTTCTAACTTCGGGAGAAGATCAGGGACGTGTCGTAATGAATCGCAAGGGCGCTCAGTGCGTAGTCCTCGGTTGCCAATGCACAGGTCGGGTGTGGCTGATGGAAACTTCCTTTATCCAAGCTGTTGCACCGCTCTTCGTGTACGCCAGGCGGAATTCACGTCTCTGATACTGTAGCTTGAAGTAAAGAAGCGGAGGCTGTAGTGCACCGCTTTCTGTCGAACAGTCGGTTCTGCATGATTACGTAGCCAAATGAGCGCATCCGAATTGTGGAGTTTGAGGGCGCCGGGATTTTTTTGTCGGGTCGGAACTTCATTTCCTCCAGTGCACGGTGGATACTTATCTCTACAATCCGTCTGGCGGCGAGTCCAACGGAATTTCTGTGCCCAGTCCGAGTGTCCCACTCCTTCCCTTCCGTCCCGAGCGGCGGTTGAAGTCTTCGTCAGTATCTGGGAGGCGAGGATGCACCGATACAATTATTGCCATTCGTCTCAAGAGCTCCAGCTTTCCAAATTTGGGAGCAAGCTTCACGGCCGGGGAATACAAGGGAACTGAGTCAATCTTATTGGCCAGTTCTGCGCCGGAAGAGTGTTGCCTGAGTACTTGGCAGTTGGACTCGAGTCACTCTCGATTCAACGGACAGTTGACGGGGATCAAACTGATCTCATTAATCCGCGGAGGAAGGGATCCGTCGCCCCATGGAGCAGCACAGCAAGGGGAGATTTTCTAGGTATTCTCTAGCAGGGCCCCAGCGCCCGTTCTTTCCGGTTTCAACCTGCTCAATTGAGACGAAACGAGGCGCTCATCTCTGGCTAGCCATGCTGCCATCACTCAGCTGACATCTGTCAAAATTCCCAGTATGGCAATCGCAGGAGCTTCACTGTGGGAAGCTTTCTGTCGTCTGTCAAGCAAGGACCCAGCAACGAAATGATTCTGATTTTGCACGCATCGGGTTTGAGTCATCTCGGCGGCGCAGCGCGAGCGTATATAAGAGCAGGCGATGCAGCGCGTCCGTCATACCAACAATACCAGCCACGATGTCGTCGTCGCCCTTTCTGACTCTGCCCTTGTCTTATCCGTACGACGTCAGCTTCGATCAGGAACTTCAGGGACAGGGTGAACGTGCCTCGAACACGGCTCGCTATACTGCATCATATGACGCGCAACACTGGGCCGGTACGTCGGGAGCCTCGTGTTCGCGCTTGTGCTCATCCATGTCCCCCAGCATCCGCGTCGTACCTCGCCGTCCCCCAGCAGCAGCAGAACTTCTCGCCGATATCCCCCTCGCTGTCGATAGATTCCATGCCTTATTCTCCGTCTCTCTCGTGCTATTCTCCTTACACGACAAAGGAATCGGAATACGCATCCTACGGGGGACAATGGCAAGATCCGCCATTCGACTCGACGAGCTTTGCGCAGTGGTCCCTGCCCGAAGACCGGTGGAATCTAGACCCGTTCCTCCCGTCCTATCCATACAACTCGGCCGGAGGCATGTCGAGCGCATTATCTTCACCGCTTGCTTACAATAGCACGCTGCTCCCACCATGCCCGTCTCCCGCGCTCAGCTGCTCCTCCGGACGGCTCTCTCCGCTCGTATCATCCGACTTCTCATCGGCCTCGTCCTCGTCCTCCTCTCCCCCGCGGTCACTTGCGACCCGCCGATCGTCGCGTACCACGGGCTCAAAAGTCTGCGCACACTGCTCAGCCACGAGCACCCCGCTGTGGCGCCGCGACCCCGCGACGCACGAGCCGCTGTGCAACGCGTGCGGGCTCTATCTGCAGCAGCGCAACAAGATGCGTCCCCCTGCGCTCATCGCTGCGGACCGCCCCGAGGCGCCGTCAGACGACGACGACGACGAGGGTGCGGCCAGCGGCGGCCCGAAGTGCGCGCACTGTGGGACGCACAAGACGAGTGTGTGGCGGAGAAGCAAGACGGGCGAGAAGGTGTGCAATGCCTGTGGGGTGTACCAGCGGCTGAGGGGCAAGGATCGACCTCTGGCGCTGAGGAGAAGCAAAATTCGCCCGCGATGCAAGCATGCGCCGCAGTCGTAACTCGATTGGATCTCCCTTCCTTCTTGAAATCCTTTCCTCCCTATTGATCATTTTAAGTCGCTTTGATATTTATTCTCAAGTATTTATGGCCTGGCGGAGAATTAAACAGAATGTAAATGTAATTCCTAATCAAGTCTCTGAAATAATATCAGTTGTCGATGAGCTAGTTGTGTGTCTCGAGGTTGCTCAATTCCCGAGTCAAACCCATCCATTCACACCTTTCATCGGCTCACGAAACCCATGATCGATCCGCAGTTTGGGTGTCACCGGGGAAGTAGGCCCAAAGCATCGCATTCAGAGCAGATCGAAAGCCTAGTCCCAAGAACACATCCTCCGATCGCGTTCAGCCAGTTGTCAGCCCAAAGCTCTCCAGGCGCCCTGAATCGCTCAAGCCCGGAGGTGCCAAGGCAGAAAACCCTGTCCATCAGCAGTTATAAAAGCTGACGGATGACGCTTTTGAGCGGTTGGGCGGATACGCGACGTTAGAGTTGCGCACCCCGTTTGTTGTGCATCGGAGGATGAACGGAGCCGACTGCTTTGCCCAAATCAAGCATTCCTCCACTCATTGAATGGCTGTAAACTCGGCCTCTGTGTATAAATCGCAGTAGATGCAAATCAAGGCAGAACAGTCCTTCACTCAAGGTTGAAGATTTATTTCCTATGTCATCGGGCGGGCGCGAAATCTCGCGCACGGGGTCTTCACGGCAACCAGATCTGTATGTCCGGTGGAAGCGGGGTCATCCGCCAGAAATGCCACGGGAAGATCAACCTACAAGAGGTGGATCCGCGCCAGATCCATGCGAGCTTGATCACTTATAGGGGCTTTACGCTCTGTATACTCGGTCGTACGGACCATCATTGATGTGAGATCGCCGATCAAAGATCATCATCTGCGCAGCGAATCTGATCTAATCGGTGTTACACAGTGCCCTGACCAAATGTCACCCTCGCTTTCGGAGACTTCATTTTGGATCCAATCTCCCGGCACGCTTTTCCCGTTTCCGTCAACGTCGCTTTGAACAAGTACATCACCGCCCTTGTCGCCTACAGGCTGGAAGCCATCATCGACCAAGCCATCGCGCACTGGCATTAAGTTTGAACAGCAGTACTAGGGAATCCCGATACCTGGGGACAGCAGCCACAAAAGCAGGCGACTTGGTCAGAGCCTCCCGCTTCGCATCACACTCCTGCGCATCCGATACTATGAAGACCCCATCAACGACGGATTGATGGTGGAGCGGGCGCAGAGCTGTAATCCGAAGGCTGGAGCGCTTGCAGCGCAGTCGGGCGAGCATGCTGGTATCTTTCGCGTCCCAGCGTGACTTCCCCTGCCGTGTCGGGCCTAGGGACCAGACGAATGTCTGAGGACCAAAGTATGCTCGAGATCCTGCCTCCTTCCAAACGTCTTGTGCTGACTGATAACGGGGAGCTACCGTTGAAGGTCAAAGCGCCCGTAGACGTATTTGGCTGCATCAGTTTGGGGCAGAATTGTGGCTGGATCCGCAAAGGAAGAGCTGAAGATCGAGCTGATGCGTCCCCTGCGGTTTGGGATATTGGTTATTAACCAAAATCTGGAATCTGTACCAGATGGGAATCGCAGGGTGGCAAATAGTTAGTCGTGGAAGATGGTTTCGGAGGCTGAGTCCCACACCCTGAATGTGCTTGTTATGGGTTGTTGAGCTACATGCCGTCCATCGATGAATCTTTGTTCCTGCAATGGAACTACTGCTCCAGCGATACTGCTCAGTAATGTTCTCCAAATCAATCTTGTTATTCCAAGCGACAGAAAGCTGTCGAAACGCTGTTCACCGCTGTTGCCATGCAACCGGGCTGTAACCGAATAACTCCACAAGGGGCAGTGCTACATGAATTGTCCTCCACTTCTGCTGAACCCAAACACGTTTTGAGAGACCCATGACAACAACGTTGACCTCTCAACTCAATTTCATTGAGCCAAAACAAACTCACAATAGACAACGTGAGTTCACGAGTCGATACCTAAACAATGCAGGCAGGCCGAGAGGACCACAACTTCTAAACCAGTATCACAGTACTAATTGTTTGAGGCGCAACAGGGAAGGCCGGAAAATTAGAGTTTCATTGAAAATGTGTGTACACCCACTTGTTCGTTCACAGAATGATGATTCCATTGTTCGATATCCGGCGGAATTTCCACTGGAAACATCGAAGATATATTGCGGACGCTCCTTCGGTCAATAGATCTTCCCTCCGTGATCGACTCGGGGAAGACTGGATCAAAAAATTCCGGAACGGGGAATCGAACCCCGGGCTGTCGCGATCAACTCATGAGAGGCGACAACGTTAACCCCTACACCATTCCGGATGGAGTTGAAGACCTCCGGTAGAAACTATCTCATGCCGCTCATGATGTAATGTTGCTTATCTCTCACTTCCCCACAATCTCTCTTTTCTCCGCATGTCATCCTTTCTCAAGAAATGGGGACTTAGGTCACCCACCGCTCCTTCCGAAGTGTCCTCTGTGAAAACACGATTATCTTCCACTCCCATCCTACCTCAAGAATCGGAGCACGGGTTCGCGGCCCTCCCCAACGAGCTCATACCCTCCATCCTCTCCCACCTCGTCCTGTCGGAGCCCCAGCCCCCAAAGACGCTCATCAATCTCGCGCAGGTATCGCGGCGCTTCAACGATCTCGCCACGCGGGCGTGGCTGAGCTTGTACGGTGTGACGGCCGCGGGCATCGCGAAGGGATGTCTGGCTATCAGGACGGACGACTCGGAGGCAGCCGCGCACGCGCTCAAGTCCGCGCTATTCTTCCGGACGAATGATGGACCGGGGGTGCAGGAGCTGCGCTGGATCGCAGAGAAAGATAGCTTGGACGTGCGTGGAGTGGAGGAGCTCGCGTCGGTGGTACACTGGGCTGCGGCGCTGTCTCGATCGGACGACGCCGGCCTTTCGTTGCACATTGATCTAGGGATGGATGGGATCCAGGCTGCGCTGACGTCCCGCTCTATGGCCCGCGCGGTTGTGCTGCTGTTTCGTGCGATGACCGACTGTACACGAGCGGTGACGGCGGTCGTGATGACAGACGGACTGCTTACTTGCCGGCCGGGCGGCTTGAAGAAGTGGTCGCCGTCGACGGGAAACTATGATGGCACATGGAAGGCAGCGAACAGCTACGCCAGCATCACGATGCATGATCGCTCGAAGCAGAGTGTGCCGACGATCCGCACGATGCAGACCCTCAGCGCTACCTTCCATCCGCGGGCGGAAAAGCTTTGGAACACTGTCGTCCTCGATGCGGACACTCTGACTGACCTGCAGCTGACGATCAAGCTCGCTCCAAACGAGTGGGACGCCGTCTTGGGCTCGCTCCATCTGCCCGCGCTGGTATGCGTCGGTCTCTGGGCCCCGGAAATCAGTGTCGAGACGAGCACGCGCTTCCTCAATCGCCACCGCAGAGTGACAACCATCAAGAACATGACCGCATACTCCGTTCTTGAGGCCAGTGGCGCGCCGCTCAGTCTCCCGAAACTGCAGACCTTGAATGCGCTAGTCCCGTTCGTCTTGCATGTGTTGTCGCCGGGGGATGCCGATGCCCGGTTCCCTCATCTTGCGCATATCGAGCTGCGGCAGCACGCCCAACTGCCGGACTGCCTCCGGCTGCTGGCCTCCCATCTCCCGACCCTGTCCGCATTGACGCTGTGGACCCTCCATGCGATGCATTTCACGTCGTGGCCCGTGCTCCCCAATCTCCGCCGGATCACCTTCAATGAGTGCCGGATCCCTGCATCGGGGGGATCCTTCGATTCGATCATGACGCCCAAAACCTTTCCTGCGTTAAGCAAAGTCGAGGTGAACTACACCTGGAGTGGCAGTGGGGATGTCCTTCTTTCGGTGAAGCAGATCCGGAAGGACCGGAGGGTATTTGCCGACAGAGTCCGGGTGTTGCATCCTGGCGTGCAGAACTTTGTATTCGATGGCCAAGTCCTGAACTTCTAGCCGTCGATGCATGTACATGTCTTTAAATAAAGATGCCCATGGGCGTGTAGATGAATGCTTACGAGAATTGTGCTAAATCTGCTCGAGCCACACTACGAATCCCACTGAGATAAGATGGAGACAGAGGATCCTCGAACCGCTGTCACGGGTAGCAGTGCTGCAACTGCAAGTCTGCAACTGCAACAGAGGCCTGATCCCAATGAGTACGCAGGGCAAAACTAAATATTTCCATGATCGGATCAATCGCGTGGGCCGGTTTTAGCCCTCCGCTTCTCGCTTCGATTGTTCGAGTCTTCAGACCGACCAAGAGGCATTCCGAACCCCGGGACCTAATGGAGATTGACGCGAGGCAATCTATCTCATCTCTCCTGGAACACGCTTTCGAACCCACTCGCCTACTTCTCTTTCCAAGACAAGCGGAACATGCTGCTGACTACCCCACCTCCTAAACGCGTTCCAGCTGCACGGTTCTCTCCTCTCACACATGGTCACCTCGCTCAAGGACATACCGGAACTCCCTCAGGGACCAACCCCGGCTTACGGGCCCGAGTGCGTCTTGCTGTCTCTCGGCCTGCACCGCGTCTCTGACCTGGCGCAGAGTCAGTTCGCAGCTCATCGGCACCTTGCTGTCGTTTCTACTGGGCGGTATGTTCTTTGTGCAAGTCTGTGCGTTGTCTTCTTGCTTGTTCTTGCTAGAGTTACCATCGCTAACGAAGCGACTACTCTGGCAGGCATCTACCACACATGTTTCAAGCGCGACCGCTGGCCGACTAGGGCACTGGGTGCGTCTCACACGCGCATAAACCGACTCGTGGACTCAAATTCCGATCCCGCCCAGTGCACGCAGTCGCCCTGCTCATCTTTCTGCGCACCGTTCTGACCGGTGTCGAGGCGCACATCTGGTTCGCAGAGGGGTTTGGCGACATCGAGCGCTTCATCGACGTGCACGACCTGCGCATATACACACCCGCCATCGGCCCGCTCACCGCGCTACTCGTGGAGCTGTTCTTCTGCTACCGAATCGTGCTGCTCGAGCGGAGGGCCTGGCCGGTGGCGCTGGGCATCGCGCTGGTGCGTTCCTGCTCCCCCTTCGTCCGCATGCATTCCACCAAACGCCTGTTTCTCAGATTGCCTTCGCACAATGTGTGTGCGGAACTGCCTCGGGGCTGTTTTACTACCTCGGCGCGAATCCGCACAGCGACCCCCGACACCATACGTTCCTCGAGTTCACCCGCGCGTTCTTGCTAACTGGGGTCGTCTCTGCCGGTCTGATCACCGGGACCACGTCGTATATCGTGCGTGGCTGCGGCCTCTCTCTGGTGGCTCTGTCTGACTGCCGCAGCTGCTGACCGCGCCCGTGACGCCCGCCACGCGGATGGTGCTCAAGAACCTCGTCTGGCTCATCGCGGAAACGAACGCGCTGTCCGCGATTGTGGAGATCGTGGCCTTTGCGCTGATCATGGCGTTCCCAGGGAGGCGGTACTTCAGTTGTTCGGGGATGATCTTGCCCGGGATGTGCGTGCTCAGTTGTGTCTGTCAGCGTGTTCTTACAGTCATTCCCCTGGAAGCTACGCCAACACGCTGCTCGCGACACTCAACCACCGCGCCATAGCCGGTGTGCGATCCCGCCGCAGCTCGGCGTTCTATGCCCTCGACTCCAATCCTGGCGCCGGTTTGCAAGAACTCGTCTCGGAGGTGGGCACCTTCCACTCCCGACCAGGCTCGTGGATGCCACCGGAATCCGTGGTGGCCGAAACGGCAAGCTATGCGCTATCCAGCACCGATGGCGACTTTGCGGCCCGAACCAATGAGACTTGTAGCAGGGCCAGTACGCCCAATCCGCCTGGACTGGAAGCTCGCTCGAGTTCCGTCTCGACTGCGCACGCTAGCGTCCGGTCGATGTTGTTTGCTGCGCGAGCGTCCGTCGAATTGAGGGAGGAGGCTGAGATTGAGAAGATCGAGAAACGGGTGGGTGATTGTGCTGTGGCTTCTCCTGTCAGCCCTGACTGGATTTCAGTGGACAAGGGAGTTGGCAGTGGCCCGTCGGCTGTCCAGCGCGGAGACTCGGGATAGACTAGCTGTAAATCAGATAAACTGAGTCATGGCAATGTGTCATGCATGTGCCATTCTCATTTCTCGCTTTGGACCAAGCGTTGGCATTTGGATCCCAAAGCCATCCGCAGGATCCATGCCCGCGAGTCTTTTGGCCAAAGCGCGGCTGGTTATAAGCGTCGCAGAGGACTGGTGCAGAGTAGTCACTCGCAATCTGCTCGCCACCCCCATGTCCCCCATCAACACCCCTCCCTGCGTCCTTGCTCCAGGCAAGAGAATGCGTTTCTGGATGATGCAACTGCAGTACAAGCTTTCATTCGGGAAGCCGCTGACGGATTTGTCCTCGGCGTTCCATCAATACGAACTTATCCGTGCTGGTTGGTGTCCTGTGTTCGATGTGCCCGGGGAGCGAATCTGATCAGTTGATAGTGATTCTCTATGTTGGGCACCGGATCAACGCTTGCGACCCACAGAGAATGGCGCTGTACTCCCGCGTGGACCTGGCCCGTGTTGCTGCGGAAGCCGCGCCGACGCGGATGGACTGTGGCGCGGCCCTGTCGTCTTTCGAACAATTAGCACCAGAGGTCACGGCTTTATTGATCGTCCTGCGCCTGGTCACGGGTCAGGAGCTCCTGGATGATGCCGAGATGTGTGAATACGGTGCGTTATTCTCATGCCATGCTCACGTTTACCCCCCTTCCGCTGCATTGCTGACGATCCACTGTAGCCTCTCGACTCATCGATAGCTTCCAGACGGGCCAGCCGTTGCCGCCCCCACACTCCTCCGTCTCCACCATGGCCAAGTCTGATCGGAGCACGTTCGCTCCGCCTGGACACTCGCCCGGTCCCAAGCACCGCTGGGTCCCGGTCACGTGCCCGTCCAGAGTGTGTCCGTCGCACCATCCATTTGGCGGGGAAGTGAGTGTTGTGCGTTGGCTCGCGATGCCCGTGCTAGTGACGAGGAATTCGCGTGGTCAGCAGGTTTCTCTGTTGTCTGCCGATTAGGACGAGTGATTTGTATACTTTGTAGCAGAGTGACGGACTAGAGCATGTTCTGCAATGGTTGCTTATTCAATGTACACTACTCACGAAATCGATTTGAGCCATTGACACTTTGAATTGGATGCGCATTTTGGTTGGGTAGAAAGGATTTTGCGAACTTGTGGGCTGTCTGGATCGAAAACATCCTCAATCATTGGTGCCGTTGATATCCATCATCCTGCTCGATCATTTCCGCGGCGGTCGCTGGCGGTCGCCCATGTTATCGGGGGTGGTGCAAGATCAGACTTCTCACGCACAGCATAATGTTGTTTCGTCTACAGGCTCCTCCTTCGCTTGGGCCAGCGAAAACAAAGCTAAGAAAAGGCGCATGCGTCTTGACTCGATGCGCTGGGACCTTCAGGAAAAGACAAGCCAGGTTTCGCGGCGCTTGGGACTCCAGGTCATGACGCGCCCACTATAAATCTCGCTGGGAACACACAATCCGTCCACAGTACTCACTTGGAATAACGCCAATGTCCTCCGACTGCTCTGCTCCAATGCCCTCTTTGAGTGTTGCTCTCCTGTCAAGGCACGTGGTGCCATGCCTGCTGGTGGACTCCCAAGATCGGCATCGATTGTGGTTTGCGCGGCTGCAGACCGAGCTGCTCCCCGAAAGATCAGTAGATGTCCTGCACACGCGGTTGGGTGTGATCGAGCTGCTCTGCGCCGGTGCGTCTCCTGCTGCGCGCGCTCTGATCCGGAGCACTGATCCCTACATGGATTCTAGCCACGCTATATGTTTGTTCACATATCAACAGCAAGTACCCGGAACGGACAGCGCTGAATGCCGGCGTCGATCTGGACCAGCTTGCAGAGGATGTAGCCCGCCTGCCGAATCCCGCGAACCCGGGGAACGCGAGTCCAGCGGAAACGCCAATAACACCATATGTAACGCGTTTGCGCGCCGCTGTAGGCCAAAATCACGCACATGAGCTTGAGCTGTGGGAGCACAGTGAGTCGGATCCCCGCCACTTTTCGCACTTCGGGGCTCATCCTCTGATGCCAGCGTTCCTGCTCATCCACAACTTCCGCAAAGGGAAGCCGCTCCCGGCTCCTGTTGCTGAGCGGCTGTTGGGGGTTGAGCGGAGCACACTGGAGTTGCCGACCGACTCGCCGGGGCAAGGTCGCTCTTGGCGGCCCCTCCGCTGTCGATCACGTGCGTGCCCTACACACAATCCGATCGGCACCCCAGCCAAGATCGTTGGCTGGCGCTCCATTCCAGAGACATTTCCCCGAGATCGGGATGCGAGACACGTGGACTTGCCCGCCGGCATGGAGGAGAGGGTTGTTATCCATGGCGTGAGGTGGCCCCGTCCGAAGTTCTCGTTCAAGGACGTGTCTGAGGAGCTCGAGAAGGAGCGCTCGGGGCCAAAGACGTCGTTACCGTCGATCCAGCACATGTTTGACGCCGAGGTCGTCGGCACGGCTACCCGGGATCTGTACTCAATCTGGTGATCCTACAGTAACACAAACATCGCCAGCGGTCTAATGATGATTTTACACACTGTACAAAAAGCGTCTTTGGGGTGTACAGTAGAACGTTCTACGCTCGTGTCTAAGTCTACGAAAGTCCTCGTGAATAAGTTAATGTTTTAATTTTAGATTGAGCCTTAGTGAGGGCCAGAAAAAGACGAGTGGGAGGCACTGCCATGCCAGCGCATGGGCGTCTCTCCGAAACGCGCATGTGGGGCCTGGTAGCGTTCCCTGTCACTGAATTGACTGATATAGTGTCCTTGGCCAGACGTGCCGTACGCGCCCATATGGGAGCTGCCCGCGATCTGCTGGGCGTTGTATGGCTGCGTTTGACCGTAATAATCACCGCGATCGTGCTGACTCTGGGGCGACGGGAAAGCGCTGGTTTGCGAGGGCTCGCCATGGTACACGAATCGATAAGTGGCGGAGAACAGCACCCGGGCGTCGAGATTGGAGACGACCTGCTGCCGTATCTCATATCGCGAAGGATCTGCATGTCGCGCGTCAGGTTCAGCGCTTGGAAACGGAGAGAAAGAATAGCACCGGACCTGGATCTTGAACAAATAACTGCCAGAAATTGGGGACAAGTGATGTGGTGTAGACCCAGCTCCCCTCCTCCGGGCCTGGGCGCAAAGAAAGCTGCGTAGTTTCGGAATGCACCGGGGCTTGGCTGGATGTCAAAATCACGGTTTCTGCTGACCGCGCGGAAAGACTTTGCGACTGAACCGGGAGAGAAAAACAGATGGTCGGATCGATGGTGGCGAGTTGTCTCTGATTTTTCGAAGCGTATGTGCTGTACACTTGGGGCTGATTGGCTGCCGCACCGTGTACCGAGGGTTGCTGGCTCTGAGGATATATCGGAATATTCACGATCATTTCCTGGGCCGGGGCGAAGGCGCCAGGCGCAGGGGAGGAATGGCCAGACATCGATGGGATCCCGGACATCCAGTCAAGCACTGTTATTGGACAATTTAAGAAAGCCGTATCCAACGAAATATCAGTGCGCACCGTTTTGCCCACTCTGGGCTGATTCGCGAATCTGCTGTATCCGACTGCCGACCTGCTTGCAACTCCGCCATTCGCCCGTCGTTTCCAGTATGAAATTCGACAGGAATCGATTGCGACCTGGATACCGGTTTGAGAATGCGGCGCCCGCTCTGGGTGGCGGCACGTATTTTTCGAGACCTGGATTTATGTCAGAAAAGGAGATGACAGTAGTGAATCGGAGGGCTTACCTTTGACCAGAGCAGCCTCCAGGTCGGGCGGCCAAATCACTTGTCCATCACTCGACTTCTTCCATGTCTTCCGCTTCTTGGTGATGTTTGGCAGGGACCCTTTCAGACGTTCGTCCATTGATCCCTGTACCGAGCTGCCTCGGGACATTGTGGAAGAAAACTCCCCGGGCGATGAACCCGAGGACGACTCGTAAGAAGCGCCTGCCGGACGGTGGTATGCCGAGTTCTGTCGAGCGTGGGACATCTGGGTGGAGATGATTGGGAATGACGAACAGAGATGGAGGACGCTCTCTATATACCTGTCCGCGATGCACTGGAAACAGAAACCCTCAAACGAAGGAGAGTTCCTGAGACGGAGGGACAATCTCTGTGCAAGCTGGTTTCATCAGCCAACTAGCGCGCAGAGAAACGACGAATGTTGATCATCTTTGAAGAACAGCCTGGGTCTCCACGCGGTTTCATTTAGTTTGGACGTTGACCAGTCTTACGGCAGGTGGGAAGAGGATCTGCCTGGATTGTTGGGCTCCAAAGGTCGAGAGCGGATTATGATGCCATGGAACGTGGAACTTGTCCAACCGAGAGTCACTGCCTCCCGGATCCAACTTCCAATTCGACCAATCCGCCAAATATCGGTTCGTGTGCGCAAAAGTAGAGGAGTCTTGGGAGATGAAGGGGACAGCAGGAGTTGTCCCCCCGTTTTTAGCAGACCATATGGGACGGCTCTCTCCTGGTGGAATGGGGGGCTGCCAGTCAACTCTAAACGACCATGACGACTCGACGACGTTCTGAATGTTCATGTCCAAACGCAGACAAAAGAATCCTGATACGTACGTTCCTCGAAGCCCTCGGATCGTTATGAGAGCTTATGGCAGTGCGTCGGGAAATGATCCCGGCGGAGTCAAGGCGGTGCGTGGAGCAGGCGGGGAGGGTGTGTCCGACCTGAACTAGTCTGGGCCTCGTTTGATAAGCGCTGGGCTCGTCGGTCAGACATCGAAGAGAACGGGTGCGGACAAGTAATCTGTGGAGAGACCACCAAGTCTGGTGTTCGAGTGGAAAGTGGGATGAGACCTGGTCAGGATCAACCCGGGATTTGGCTATCAGTCAAATGATTTTGCGATCAATCGGGATCACGTGGGTGCTCTCTGGTGGTCGCGTGATCTAGGTTCAAGTCCAGAAGACTACCCAGATGCGTTTTCTGGAAAAACACTCCTTCCCATGCAAGGTTGGACAGATAATAGATTTCTCCGACATATTGGTGCGACGCAATCTCGGCGTAAGGAGTTGAACAGACTGGAATGGGTGCCATGAGGACCCCCTTAAAATGGAATCGCGCACGTAAGCGCCCAGTGCTCGCTCCGATTTCGAATCACATGATGTCAAATTCTGTATCTACGAGCCCAGTCGTCTAACCTGTACTGCATATTCTTTCCACCGAGATTATGAACTCGAGAATAGTCCAATTGCCCCAATATAGCAATGTCTGCCAATGCTTTCACCCTCGACAACCCAACGAAAGTCAATCCCACGGCAAACTCTTTCTTCCCCAACCCGAGCTTTATCTTCGGAATGGTCAGACCTTGGGATTTGTGGATCGTCACTGCCCATGCCAGTCTGAGAGGAACTTGAACATGGGACATCTGCTTGTCGCCCACATCGAAGGTGCTCTTAACGGTAGGGATCGGCACAATTGGAACACCCCCGGGAAAGTCCGGAAGCTGTGGCTCGGTTTGCCATAGCGTCGGGCCCGTGTAGTCCTTGCAAGAGACAAGGACCACCTCCGGTAAATCAGAGGTCGAGGCTCCTTGCGCCCAAATCACATCTTCCACCGTTCCAACCGTTGCATTGACCAGACCGTGCTGTTGCCATAGATTTCGGTTGATCATGACTTGACTTCGGCGGGAAAGAGTGAGATAGGGCTCCAGCCCTCCTGCATCGTCTGCAGTGACTTTTGCCGCAGCAGGCCCGCCATTGTGTCGCACCTCAGTTACCACCGCCATCACCCGGTTGCACCCCCGCGGGGGTCCTACTGGGTACCCTCAGACGTAGCTCTGAGGGTACCCAACAGGTACCCCCCTGCAGGGCCCGCGGGGGGGATTTGGTCCATTTGGGGCAGGGGCATATGCGGGGATCAGCAGGGGGGGTGCAGGGGGTCTGTACATATCATGTGATTTATCATTGGGAGCAGGCAGGTGGGCGCGAAAAAAAAATGAATCACATGACACATCCAATGGGCGGGATGGCGGCTGATGGCGGGGTAAAAAAAATCACGTGATGCACCGCATGAAAATTATCAAAGATGGCTAGCAGGGGTTGGCGGGGGTTGGCGGGGGGCGCTACTGTCCCCCCGCACACCATGGCGGGCAGTGGGCGCATTATCACGTGACTTTTGGGGCACCTTTTGTGCACCATTCGGCATGATTTCAAAGGTGTTGCTTGATCCATTGCATGCTGTGGCAGACAATGGGCGCATAATCACGTGATTTTCCGCCCAAAAAATGGAAGCCTTCCCAAATCATCCTGGTATCATTTCTATAGGTAAATACACTACTTAAGCATGAATTTGAGCTTGGAAAGCCCAAAACGCACCCTGCACAATGGGACTGGTGATGCACTTGATCCCATCATTTGGCGGGGTCTGCTGCGGGGGGTGCCACGGGGGGTGCTGCGGGGGGTGCTGCGGGGGGTGCCACAGGGGGTGCCACAGGGGGTGCCACAGGGGGTGCCGCGGGGCCCGCTGTGGGGTCAACCACAGGAGCAGGGTTAGGGGTGCATTGCATTATACTTTGATCTATCTATTCTCGCTGTGGTCATAGCATGCAGCATAATTATCCTTCATTTTGCCAGGAGTTTGGAGGCTGTGTCTGGGGGTGGTCTGCACCTACAGCCGTGTGACTCCCTGATGCTTCGGCAGGGGCTGGGATATCAAAACTGTGCAATATTACCTAAATCTTTTGGCTTGGCTTGGGGCACTGATATATATGACTTGGTTCATTTTGGCATGGTCTGCTCAAGCTGTCAGGTCAAACTAAAAATTTGAAAAATGCGCAACTTGATTTATTAGGCAAATCTCCCAAGTACATGCTCCAGGGACAGCCAACATCATCAACAAGAAATGGCTAATGTTTCTTTTCTCTGTCTGTTTGCTTCAGGTAGTCTGTCTGCGCTCAAATTTTCCTCTCCATTTGCAGCATATTCCATGGAGGTGTCATAATTCTTGATTTCCGGATTTCATACTTCTTGTCTACATAGCATTTGGGTCCTTTACTGAATCCAATAATACTGTAGACTCTTACAATGGATTGAGCAGGACATTTGTCAATTAAATCCTTGCAGGGGTTGGGGGGGGTCAACCGCAGGGGGTGCCGCGGGGGGTGCCGTGGGGGTGCACAAGCATCTGCCAGCCTACCAAATGTGGATCAACTACAAAATCACTTTCCAAAGCTTCTGTACTGCAACCCAAGTGACTTCTAGGTAACCTTTACCCAATCCCAGTGAAACAACTTCACTGCTCTTGTTTCTGGGTGACAATTGATTTTATGAGCTTGAGTGTGTATGTGCGCTTCTTAGTCGGAAATGAGGCCATGTGATGAGAGGTAGGGCACCGAAACATTGTAAAATACTATATTCAACATGACCGGTGGCCCATGTCTCTTCAAACCAGCCCATATGTCATGTTTATCAAGACCCTATTTTTCGGACTCATTTCAAGTTTTTGAATGGTTCCAGGGTCCAGGGCTCTCAGAATTTGTTTCAGACACTGCCAAAGAGTATATCATTCAGCTGTATTGAATTGCTTGTGTGTAGAAAAAATATTTTTTGCCATACTCAAAGTGAACCATGTTGAACCATTGTCTACATAGGAACCTTGAGCAATGGTGAACTGTTTTCATGTTTCGATTTTTAGGTGGACAAAGGATATGAAGTACCTACATATTCAACAAGAATAGCCTATGGAGACCTTATTCCGATGGTTTTCAGCTGCATAACTGTAAGAACAGTGTTAGAAGGGCAGTAAACACTTAGGTACGACGTTTATACAGGTTCTGATTGGCTAGTGACTTGACGTGTTCCGAGCTGTCAGTTTACATAATCTTACATATAAGAAAATCACAGGAGCAAGGCACCGGTGCGGCGGGGGGTGCTAGACTGGCGGGGGTGCCAGCGGGGGTGCCAGCGGGGGTGCCACAGGGGGTGCCAGCGGGGGTGCAGGCAGTGGGTCATGGCGAGGATGTGTGCAGCCCCAGAGGTAGTAAAAGTAACCATCTATGTCTCTACAGTCTATCTTGCAAATATACGAGCTCTGAGTGCACAGAGTGTTGTATATGAAATTTGAAATTCAAATATTACCAATCTCTGACTATTGTGAGACAACTTGCTGGTGAATCCATTGTCTCATATTCCACCTAGGAATTGTTGATCAAATGATGATCTTATCATCTGCCAGATGGATGTCGTGATACACATCTTATGACTCCATCACGTGTCATCTAGAGTCATGTCGACTCGTCCTAAATAGACACAAATAGCCCCCTGTATTGTATATAAGGAGGGCTCTATTACCCTATAATCCAAGTCTCTTGACTACTCCCGCATAGTGCCCACACTAAGCTCTCACTCACACAGGTGAGCTGCTAGACGCTCTCCCCAGTGCTCAACAGGTTATGGGCCCCGAGAGCTATGTCTGCGCCTCAATGGCCGCGACATTCATTGTATGCGCCGTCACTGGCTGCAACGATGAGCAGCGTCTTTAGCCTATCTGTATTCACTTCAGCTGCTGCATAGCGCTGGTGAAACCATGCCGGATCGCGATTACATCGCTTGATCCAGATGCATCGATCTCTAAAGGAGATTATGATCTATGAGGATCTGATCATCTTTATCTTTGATTTTATCTATCAGATTAGATTGATGCTGATCACTCACACAGATCTAACATGTCGTCCAACTCCAACAACATCTTCAATGCTGTCTCCATCTTTGATGGAAAGCACTGGCTTGTCTGGTCCGGAACTATGGAGTCCTATCTGGAGCATCAGGGGATCTCATATGTGCTGACTGAGACCGCGCCAACCGAAGTCAAGGCTACGGATGGCTCTGTGACCAACGCATCGGAGATCAAGCAATGGAAGCATGATGATCTCAGGGCAAAGGGCAGCATTAAGTTGCGCCTGACTGAGGGAGTCATTGCCAACATTCCAACCGCCAACATAGTGTCAGCTGCCAAGATCTGGGAGCACCTGAAGACCCAATACGGTGGTGCTCAGTGCGCCGACCTGTACGCGTACTTCCAAACCGCGTTGAACGCCAAGTACAACGTGGGGTTGCACCCGGATCCACAGCTGCTGGTGATCACTACGGCGTTCGCTCGCCTGGAGAATGAGTCTTTGAGCATCCCTGAGTTCCTCAGAGCGATGATCATTCTCAACATAGCCCGGATTCCCTCTGTCACGGAGACTGTTCTACAGACTTATGACAAGGACGAGATCAAAGTCTCTGCGGTTCGTGACGCTCTCTTGACGCATTTTGCTCAGAAGCAGTCTCAAAGCCAGAATCATGTGGCCAAGTTCAATACCAAGCGCAAGCGCGATGACCCTTCGTTCACCAATCAGCAACAGGGCTCCGGCTCTGCACCCGATAAGGGTGATAAGGCTGATGGAAAGAAGAAGAACCGTCGAGGCAAGCGCAGTGGGAAGAACAAGGACAACAAGGGCAAGGGCAAGGCTGATCACAGTCATGTCCATGGAGTCTCTGAGATCACTGGCTCCCTCACTATTGGTTCGATCGCCTCGCTCACTCCGTCCATCCCTGCGCCGACGATCTCGCATGTCACGCACATCTCTCGCGATGGACCCAAAATCCGCGCGGTTCAAGAGAAGTCTCCCGTTAACAATAATGGGATTATTGACACCGAGTTTCAGAAGCCTACTCGTAAGGTCTTCGAGCTGGCCAAAAAGATGGATGTGACGGTGACCGCAGAACGCTTCCGGACTCTCGACAAGATCGTCAATGAGAAGGGAATGCTCCGCGAGGACGCAATCATGCGTTCTCCATCTCCGGTTGCTTCCGGCTCGAATCACACGCTGGATGATGGTCCTCCTGCCAAACGCAGTCGTATCGAGGAGATCCCCGACGTCGAGATGGCCACTGGCCAACAGAACGATCTTGATCTTCTGTTTGGAGATAGCGAGTTCGCCCAGGCTGAACCGGTCAATTGGGATGAAGTCGTCGACTTCAACACCCTTCTGGAGGAGATGGACGCTCCTTCCGCCGAAAGGCAAGTACCCTGCCTTCTTGGGCACATGCACAATTCTGATTGTTGCTCACAGCCAGAGCGCGTAATCACCGCCGCCCCGGGTTCTGTACTTAATTCGTTGATGATTTGTTCGCATGATTTTTGTACCAATCTATTCTGTGTGCACTCCGATTTTGCTGCCTGCTCTAAGTGTAAGGGGAAACATCATCATCATGAATTAGGGCCTCTATGGCTTCTTGATTCAGGTGCATCTCTCCATGTGACATCGGAGATTAGTGATCTGGTCGGATATGAGAAGCTCTCAGATCCTATTGTTGCTCAGACCGCTGATAAGAACACACGTGTTGCCCTTATTGGTCGAGGAACAGCCTTCATCGATCATTACGTCACAAGGCATGGAGAAAAGACAATGGTGACTTCTCAGATATATCCAGTGTACCTAGTGCCAGGATTACATGGTCGTCTCATGTCTTTGGGCTCCTTACTCAAAGGAGGATCTCGCGTTCGTGGAGACGAATCACGGATCAGCTTACATCGAGGGAAGTCCCCACTCTCGATCATGGAGTTTAGAACTCTAGGGAAGGACATTGCCTTGTACTTCCTGATGTCAAAGCCTAGCACGGCTGAGACAGTGCGATCCATGTCCACTGTTTACAAGGTGGATTATGAGATCATGCACCGGCGATTTGCACATCCGTCGAAAGACGTTTTACGTCAGGCAAAGAAGAATACCAAGGGCTTTCCAGAAGACCTAGTATTTCCCGAGGAAACCCGACCGTGTAAAGGATGCGCGCAAGGGAAAATGCACCAACGTGCCTTCCCACCTTCCGAAAAACGAGCGGAGAATCCGTTTGATTTGATCCACTCGGATCTCAAACAATTTCCCACGGTGTCTTATCACAAGTACCGCTACTTCATGAGCTTCTTCGACGAAGCACTCTCCTATGGCTGGACAGTATGCCTTGCGCAGAAATCCGATGCCAAGCAGGCTATGCACAATTTCATTGCGATGGTCAAGAACCAGTTCAATGTCACCATCAAAAAGTGGCATATTGACAATGGGGGAGAATTCATGGGGATGGGAATGGAAGAATTTCTCGCGGAACAAGGAATTCTAGTGGAGAAGGGTGCTCCATATGCTCACCAGCAGAATAGGCATGCCGAGCGCTTCAATCGTACGATCATGGATAAGGCAGAAGCCATGCGCTTCACTGCCTGTCTTCCTAATTCTTATTGGGAATTCGCTATCAAACATGTGACACGGATCTACAATATGACACCTATCAGGCGTCTAAAATGGAAAACTCCATTTGAAGCTCTTCACAAGGAAAAACCGGATGTTTCCGAACTCCGAGTCTTTGGTTGCGCTGCATATGTCTTTATCCCTGATGAGAAGCGCGCCAACAAGTTATCGCCCAAATCGGAGCTGATGACCTACTTGGGCATTCCTGATGGTGTGAAAGGATTTTTGTTCATGCGCACAAACAATTCCACGTTCGTCGCCACCAAGGCATTGTTCGACGAGGAATTGTTCCCCCGCTGTCCTGACAGCAATCGACCACCCCACGTTCCTGTTGGAGAGGAATTTCCAGAACGTGATGACCCAGTGAATCCACAAGATCCACCACAGGTAGACGGAGAAGATTGGCTATATGGAGATAATCCTTTTCCATTTGCCATGCCATCTGATCCGGCTCCACCACCTCCCGTACAGGGAAATGATGATGGTGACGACGGTCATAATCGTCAGGACCCACCGCCAGAGCGTCGGGATGAACCTCAGAGGACTCGTAGAAGTAGAATTCCACGACCAAGTCGGGAAGCTTCACCAGCTCCTGAGCCTCGAAGGTCTTCACGCCAGCGGAATGTGCCTACACGTCCAGGAAACGTCTATGGGGAAAAGCGTACCCCTACGGATATAGTCCGTGACATTCAGAACAGCAGAGGATGGAAGCGGTATGTTGGTGAAGATAAGGGTAGCTCCCAATCTCAACCATCAACCGGTGCTGATGCAGGGGTTCCCGGCCCTAGCTCGCAACCAGATTCCTCAAACGCGGGTGCTTCTGATGATCTAGACGAGGATGCACGCATGGAGAAGCTATGCCGGGAAGGGGGAGTAGAGCTCATCACGGCGCTGCTGTCAAAAGCGGTTCCAAATGAGAACCTACCTGATACGTCCAAAATTCGCGATTGGACGTTCCGCGATATCAAGCGGTTGCCTTCTGAACAACAGAAAGGTTGGATTGATGCTTGCCGCGACGAGTTAGAGGCACTTCGTCAGCGCAAGGTCTATTCCCTTGTGGACCGCCCGAAAGGACGGAAGGTTATCAGATGTCGCTGGGTCTTTGACCAAAAATCTGATGGCCGAAAACGTGCCCGCCTAGTTGCCAAGGGTTTCAGTCAAGTCGAAGGTGTTGACTATGACGAGATATTCTCTCCTGTTGTCAGGTATGAGACGTTCCGGTTGGTCATGGCGCTTGCAGCGCTCAATGATTGGCATTGGTCTGGACTCGATGTCAGTAAGGCTTTTCTCTACGGAGAGCTTGACGAAGAGGTCTACATGGAACAACCCGAAGGCTTTGTGGCGAGAGGCCAAGAGCGCAAAGTCATGCGCTTGCACAAGGCAATCTATGGACTCAAACAAGCTGCTTTAGCATGGTGGAAAGCGCTGACCAAGTCCACGAAAGCCATGGGCTGGATCCGACTAACATCGGATGCCGGCGTGTTCTTCTACAAGGACTCTGATGGCAGCATAGCCGTCATAATAGTCTACGTGGATGATGCACTGTTCTTCTCCAAGAACAAGAAGCTCCTCGCCTTTCTCAAGGCTGAGTTCAACAAGCGATGGGAATGCCGCAATTCTGAAGATACTCCAGAGTTCTTGCGCGTGCGCCTCAGTAGAGTAGGATCTTCGATCAAGATTGATCAGATTCCTTATCTCAACAAGGTGCTAGAGCGCTTTGGGATGCAGAACGCCAAGTTCGCAGCGACCCCTCTACCGGCTGGATATGTTCCAATGCCAAATGAGGATGAAGTCGATCCAGAGCTCAGGAAGAAATTCCAATCAGTCATTGGATCTCTTCTCTTCATCATGCTAGGCACACGTCCTGACATTGCATTTGCTGTGACCAAATTGTCACAATTTGCTGCCAATCCGTCCCAAGACCACCTCCATAAAGCGCTGTATATCTGTCGCTATTTGGCCGGTACTAGGAATTATTCGCTCATTTTCAATGGTGCGACGGATAGAGGGCTCATTGCATTTAGCGATTCAGACTGGGCTGCTGATCCGATCAAGAGGAGGTCTACCACTGGTTTCTTCACAAAATTGGCAGACGGGATTATTTGCTGGCAGTCTAGACTTCAGCGCACTGTTGCGCAGTCTTCGACCGAAGCAGAATACATGGCGATTTCAGATTGTAGTCGCCAGGTGATGTGGCTGAAGAGCGTCCTTTCGGAACTCCAGTTCAAGCTCACCATCCCAGTACCCATTTGCGGTGACAATCAGGGTGCACTCTTCAGTGGCAGCAATGCCTACCGAGACCGCAGGATGAAACACATAGACATCCGCTATCACTACATTCGTGAGCGAGTCGAGGAAGAAGAGGTTGAACTGTTCTTTATTCCGGGCAGTGAGAATCCTGCAGATATGTTCACCAAGAACCTAGGACGCGTCAAGTTCGAGAAGTTCAGGTCCCAACTAGGACTTGAGTTCAACTCGTCCTGAAGGAATGGCCGATGAAGATTTCGCTTTCAAACACTATCCTGTGGTTTTCAGCGTGGGGGAGTGTTGATCAAATGATGATCTTATCATCTGCCAGATGGATGTCGTGATACACATCTTATGACTCCATCACGTGTCATCTAGAGTCATGTCGACTCGTCCTAAATAGACACAAATAGCCCCCTGTATTGTATATAAGGAGGGCTCTATTACCCTATAATCCAAGTCTCTTGACTACTCCCGCATAGTGCCCACACTAAGCTCTCACTCACACAGGTGAGCTGCTAGACGCTCTCCCCAGTGCTCAACAGGAATCAATTCAGGGCATGTCAAATCCACTATTACATCTGTTCATGTTGCAACTGAAGCAAACTGCTTGTAAAGTAACACAGAACAGATGAACTTCAATGAGTCCCAGACAGGAAGTGTGACATTAGGTGCATAATTAACGTGTGGTATTATCCACAAGGTAAGATTAGACTGTGCCTACAGCATGATCAGTTTACCAATGGGCATGTGTATAAAATGAGCAGACAAAATAATCATTGAGTTGACAGTGGACCCAATGCAGCCCATGATGTCAGCCCACCTACCCTGCCAGCCAAAAAATGAACAAATCACACTTTCTTTTTAATTCTACATGCCTGGATTACGCAGCCAATATTGCACAGTTTTGATATCCCAGCCCCTGCCGAAGCATCAGGGAGTCGCACGGCTGTAGCTGCAGACCACCCCCAGACACAGCCTCCAAACTCCTGGCAAAATGAAGGATAATTATGCTGCATGCTATGACCACAGCGAGAATAGATAGATCAAAGTATAATGCAATGCACCCCTAACCCTGCTCCTGTGGTTGACCCCACAGCGGGCCCCGCGGCACCCCCTGTGGCACCCCCTGTGGCACCCCCTGTGGCACCCCCCGCAGCACCCCCCGTGGCACCCCCCGCAGCAGACCCCGCCAAATGATGGGATCAAGTGCATCACCAGTCCCATTGTGCAGGGTGCGTTTTGGGCTTTCCAAGCTCAAATTCATGCTTAAGTAGTGTATTTACCTATAGAAATGATACCAGGATGATTTGGGAAGGCTTCCATTTTTTGGGCGGAAAATCACGTGATTATGCGCCCATTGTCTGCCACAGCATGCAATGGATCAAGCAACACCTTTGAAATCATGCCGAATGGTGCACAAAAGGTGCCCCAAAAGTCACGTGATAATGCGCCCACTGCCCGCCATGGTGTGCGGGGGGACAGTAGCGCCCCCCGCCAACCCCCGCCAACCCCTGCTAGCCATCTTTGATAATTTTCATGCGGTGCATCACGTGATTTTTTTTACCCCGCCATCAGCCGCCATCCCGCCCATTGGATGTGTCATGTGATTCATTTTTTTTTCGTGCCCACCTGCCTGCTCCCAATGATAAATCACATGATATGTACAGACCCCCCCCCCCTGCACCCCCCCTGCTGATCCCCGCATATGCCCCTGCCCCAAATGGACCAAACCCCCCCCCCCCCCCCCCCCCCGCGGGGGTGCAACCGGGTGATGGCGGTGGTAACTGAGGTGCTCACTTGCCCTTCTTGGTCCCGAGTTTGACTGATGTGCATGTGACACTCACAAAGTCACAAGAATGGAGTCACGGAACGGGGACTGCCTGTTCTTCACTTTTGAGCTCATTATCAGCCTCACACGGGCAGTCGTTGGAAAGCTAAAGTAGCTGTCCGGACCTCGCAGACTAGCCTTCTGAATCACTGAATTACTCCGAATTACCCCAGCAGGCTCCGTGAACTCGAAAATGCGAACGGGACTCCAAACGGTTTGTTACTGCCTTTAATACTCTCGTCCCCTACTCTGAACGAAACAGCCTCCAGCCACGCACCGACACTTTTGCTTCGAGTGTTAACAATCCGCCAAGGCAACCATCAGCTCACGGCTCCTGTCCGTCAGTCAATGTCTGTCGGGGCTGACAGGCTCAAGGACAGGGAGGCGCTGATGCGGTCTGACTAGGACTCCTGGCTGTGAGATTCTGCCTACGTTCGTTGTTAAACCCCCTCATTCTTCACTTTTCAGACGGGATTCCGGCTGAGCCCCAGTGCCATCCCGACACCCACGAAGCCATACCACACGCTCGCAGTGCCATGCGGCTGCCTACACACTCTCTACCTCTGCCTCTCTTATATCTCTTAATCGCGCTAGCCCTGCCCCTCATCTCCACCGTTTCCGCGCAAGCCAACCGCACGATTGACGATTTCGCACCGTCAGGGATTACCTACACCCCCGCGAGCGCCGTCACACACGGAAACCTGACGGGGCTCGATATCACCAAGCTGTACAATGGCACGGTGTCGATGATGAACGGGAGCATGAATGCGGATGGGTCGGGGACCGTGAACATGACTGTGCGGTTTACAGGTGCGCTTGTTCGCCTTGCATCACAGTTGCGTGCGCTGAGGGACCGTTGCTGTGCACAGGAACTGCGTTTTGGATCTTTACTGTGAAGCCGCTGATGGACACCTCGTACGGCAATTCATTCAATGTCTACGTTGATGGTGTTCCTGCGGTCCAGTCGGCGTCGTTCGACCAAGTTCTCGATGCCGAATATAACCAAGTCGCGTACAACGATGCGGGGCTCAAGTCAGGACCTCACGAAGTGTTGTTCTCGGTAACGGAGAGCAGTGTCGTGTGGTTGGACTACTTTGTTTTCACGTGTGTGCGATCTCCAGCAAACGACGCGATGCTGATGTGTGTGCTCCCAGATCCAATAGCGCTGTAGCGCAGGCTACGATTCCGCCGGTACAGTCTTCGGTTCCGGCAACTTCTTCGTCAACTTCGACAAAGAGCAGCGAAACAGGCACCACTGCGACCCCAAGCAAGCCATCGTCATCAAGCAAAGGCTCCGCGTCTGACACCACGCACATTCACATTGCTATTCCAATCGCCGCGGCCGTCGTGGGTCTGCTGGTGATCGGCGCAGGATGTAGCATCTGGTACATCTGCCACAAGAAGCGCCAGCGGAGGGGGTCGAATGGCAATCCTGGAGGTGGAGAGTGGCCTTATGGTAGACCGAAGCCTGAGGCTGATATCAATGTCTACGGGCCTCCGGTGGTTTTGCCACAGACAGGGAATGCGTATTCCCCGCCCTATTCTCATTCTCAGTCGGGTGGCTACCCCCAGGCGCAGCTCGCCAACACATATCCACAGTCGAGTGTCTATCCTCAACAGCAAAGCCCATATCGAGAGGACCCAGGGGCACAAGAATCGCAAGCCGCGTTGCTTCGAATGCCGTCCACACAATCTGTCGACGTGTCAGGGCTATCTTCACCAATGAGCGGCAGCAGCGGCAGCTATCGCGATCCGGGATCCGCGACATCTCCCATCGCCTATCTGCCCTCACAAGCATCCGCATACTTTCCCCCGACACCCATATCGCCAAGCACATACACTTATGAAGCCAATGGACGAGCGACGCTTTCGTATTCGCCCGTCGCCGGCCCGTCGTCCTCGTCTCGAGAGCCGGAATCGTCCGCCCAGCCATACGTCCTCGCGCAGCAGCGCGCGATCGAAGCGGAATACACGCCACCGCGACAGTGGATCATCGATGAGAAAAAGCAGCCGGAGAGGGGTGCTGAGTCGCCGATGGCGTTCGCGGCGAATCCCGACAACGGGCCGCGCGCGCATGCCGCCGTCCCACCCGCAGACCCGGCATTGTCCACGATCGCAGCCGAGATGCAGGCGTTGAGGGCCCAGGTTGCCCGATTAGAGGGGGAGAGGAGTGCGCACAGTGGGAATACGGACGGGGATGTACACGGGGTGCCAGATGTCCCGCCGCCAGCGTACGATTGAGGTGCTGTGTCATTGTCGTTTGAGGCTATACCACGCTTTCAGATCAGAGTGCCAGGTGTTTCGGTTTGAATTAGCTAGTCTGGTGCCCATCCGAACTGCCCCCTGCCCTCGATATGCCAACCAGAGCGGGTGCATCTTGTTCGTACCCCGATCCATTCGTATGGGTCGTTTGCGCTCAAGCGATCACGATCTGTTCTGATTCTCAAGTCTCATTCACTTTTCATCGCTTCAAGCAGACGAAGAGAAACAAAACTGCACGATTTGAGCCTGGAAACAGCTTGCACACTCCTCCGTTCCTATCTGACTTACAATAGAGCAAGATCTCCGTCAGAGGCAGTGATTGATAGACCAGGATGTATAGGCTCTTCACGGTCAATCACTTCGTGCTGACCATCTACAATCTTATCTCAGAAATCATTGACCCTGTATTACCCTGGACCGTGATTTCGGATAGCCAACTTTCCGCACCAAGTGAATTGCTTCGAAGGATTTGGATGATATGTGCTACGTATATGCTCGGCTCGTATTGCGCTAAGTAACAAGTCCTGCCTACGAAAAGTGTCGGTACATCGCAGTCATTAGCGAAAAGGATTAGACGGAGGGGTTTGCAAAGAGAGGGTGATCAGAGATCCACTGAATGCTTTCTTACGCTCGAGTCTGTGGCCCATCGAGATATGTACATAGGCGTTCCAGCACGGTCATCTGTATACTTGACCGTAGATGGACTTGAGTCCTGATGTGCGGTCTCCGAGAAAGAACCTGAGTCAATCACCGGGACGGGGGAACTTCCAATTCTGAGCGCCTGACGGTCTCATCTCATCGCGTGACGATTCATGCTGCACATGGGGTTGATCGGATGACGTGGGCGCGAAAGCTAAAATCACGCACCATGGCGCAAACGAAGCGCTGCGGCCCCCATCTACATCACGCCTCATTTGAAGCAGCAGTCCGCGAAGCAGGTTGGCTCCAAATCGACGTCGAAACCGTCCCCCTGCCTCATGCAACCGCCCGCTGACTCGAGCCACGCGGTGCACCAAGTCATCCACGCCCGTCCCGTCGCGCGCCGAGCATTCCACGTACCCCACCGCGCCGACCCGGCGCGCCACCGCCTCCGCATCGTCGCTGGACACAGGCAGCTCTCCAGCCAGCCGAAGCTCCCGCACGACGCGCGAGTCTGTGCGCAGATCTGCTCGGCACCCCACCAGCAGCCGCGGCACGCGCAAGTGGCTCCCGAGCAAGTCCAGCTCGGGCGTCCATCGGGTCAGAATGTCGTGCAGCGAGTCGGGCGAGTCGATGCTGAAGCACAGCAGCACGACCTGGGTGTGCGCGTATGCGAGTGGGCGGAGGCGGTCGTACGTGTACGAGCCGGGGGTGTCTTGAAAGAGCAGGAGACTGGCATTGGGGTCGTCGCACACGGAGACGGGGTATACGTCGAAGCTGTCGTCGCCGTTCGAATCTTCGAAGCCTGAGCTGCAGGACGTGGATGTGCATGTGCATGATGGGCAGCGAATCGTGTCCTCCGCCTGCTCCTTGTCCTTTCCCTTCCGTTGCAGCTCGATGCATGCGCGCAGCAACGTCGTCTTCCCACACCCCGAGTCTCCGATCACGACGACTTTCGTTGGCAGCATGTGGGTCCGAGCGCGGTGAGACAGCAGGTAGGTGGGTGTGTGTGAGGGAGGGAGATCGTGGGATCGTGGGCAGACCGATACGGGTGGTGCCCGCAGGCACTGCTCCTGGCCGTGTGCAATCGACTGCGTCCCTTGTCACAGTCCCCCTGGCAAGTCAGACGAGGCTCGATGCGGCGCCAACTGAATGGAACATGCCACGGCCATTTCCGTATTCGTCCGTCTAACTCCCTCGCACCATCATCGCACGCGAAGACATAAAAAACATGGGCGACGCCGTGGTCCGTTGGCAAATCAGTCGGCACCCACCCGGTAGTGAAGCATCACAGGACTGATGATATACAGCTGCCACTCACAACGCGGTGAGCTAGACCAAAATCGTCTCCCCAAGCATCCCGAGGGACCATTATCTGATCTCGAATTCACCCTCGGCTCGAACGGACCAACTTCTCCCACACAGAATGACCCCTCCTGGCCATGGGTCTGTTGACACATGGAAACATACACGTCAGACGTGGGTAGGCATCCTGAGTCGAGACCCGACACCGACATTTGCTGACCGAAGCCATGAATAGCCTTGGCTTGCGTAGATATACGTAAACAGAACGGGGACTTGACGCAGCAAGGATCGGCTTTGTGGATTGAAAGGCTGTGGGACAAGCATACAGTACAATGCTGTGTCGATCACTCGGCAGTCTCCGTGATCGCAACACCTATCCCATCATTTCTTGACAACCAGGACGAGTTTGTGCGCGGGAGTGAAAGGACGTCACGTTAGCGATTGAAAATTTCATTCCGTGGTCAAGTGGTCGAGCAGAACTTTGGAAACGTTGAACTTTGGAAAGGTTGCGGTTGGAATCGGCGAATTAGCATGAGCGGATGTTTGTTTTTTTGGTTGGTTAAGTGTAAAAGATTACGGAGTAAGTGGTAGTCTCATCAACGCACAAATTAGAGCACATTCTCCCAGACACCGTAGACTGAAACCCATGGCCATGAGCACCGGGCTTGTGCTTGATTGCTCGCTTCGCTCGCAATCATCCACTAAAGAGATCCCCCGAAGCACTAAACAAGTGCAAACTCCAAGCAACTTTTGATGGGAGCTCTCACGGCACTATTTCAGCTGCAGTTTACTCAATTCTACTGTTACCACTCCTGTACTGCGTATACTTATTTATATATACTGCATCCATGCTCCACACAAGTTTTGGACGAATCGGCAAAGAAATGAGTGGCCTATGGCCACCTCAGGTGCATCTGTTACAGATGACACCCCCCCCTCTAAGGCCCTCGGAAGTGGTCAAAATCGGGGCCTAACAGGCCCCGTCATGTCCGGATGGGTCTGCGCTTCTGCGATCAATATAGTGACGTGAGCTTCTAGTACCTTCCTAATCCGGTAGCTTGCCATCAATTTTACTGTTATATTCCTCTCTTCAAAACCTCAATGGCTCCTTGCAAGCGCGCCGCTGCTCAGCTGCCCTTTGGTGTACCTAGCACCAGCCCCATGAAACGGAAGGCTGCTAGGGAGGTGGTTGACATACACCCACATAAGCGCACTCAGGCGGCGCATCTGCAAGCACGGCTTAATGCACTGCTTGCCAGGAAACCACTCCCCTCAATTCCCAGCCCTTCCCAGACACTAGAAGAGGATAATCCCTACTTCTCCGAGCCTCTTGAGCCGCCACAGACACTTCCTGATCATTCTGGGGATCCTAGCCAGCACTCAGAAGATGCATCTGTTCAGCCTTTGGTCTCAAATGGAAATCTTGATGAGCCAATGCCTGCAGTCAATGAGCGTGCTGTACGGGCTGCAGACAATTGGGAAACTCTTTTGCCCAAGTTGGAATCTGTGTTTCTCGATTTTCATTGTGCATACCATGGAGCAGTTCGACCAACAATTGCTTCTTCGCTTGATGCTGTATGCTCGCAATGCATTATTGGCATAAATTCTGTGTCAATAAGCTGTCTATATCCCACCCGTTGACGTGCCTGCGGACGGAATAGGCGCGAGCTAACACAAAATGGGGGTCAGCTACGACCTAAAACAGTGCAGGAATAAGTGTGATGTGCGAGGAGGTCCACAAGATTCAGTGCCGTGGCAGGCAGTAAGAAATGATGATTTTAGACGTGGGACGAAGTCGAGGGCGGCGTGGGACGGATGCGACGAAGCAGAGGGTCGAAATACCCAAGTAGAAACGAGCTGAAGACGAGAACTGAACTCAAGACTATGAGGAGAATAAATCTATTTTTCTTTTGTCCAACTACAAGCTTTTGTATGTGAGACAATGAAATAATCATCAGAGTGGGTGAAATATCGACAGGATGGAGCAAGGGACGGTGAACAGAGGAACCAGGGAAGTGAGAGGGGAAAAACAGGTACAAGTGGATGGTGAAGTAAGAAAGGCAGGGGTGTAGAGATAAATGTGCAGACAGCAGTCCAGGGATGTGAATATCAAAATATATGCAGGGCTGGACGAACCAGTGAATAGCCAGGGCTGAGGAATATTGAGGAGACCCTCAGTTGTGTGCGAAGCGTGCGCCCACTGATTGCTGATTGACATGCACTGCCACACGTCAGGACTTGTCGGATAGATAGGCCAGTCCGTCACCGTGAGCATTTTTCCGCTCCATAGTGACCAGTGAACCTGACTCTCAACAGATATCAGTCGGGTGCAGATCCGTCTGTGCCGATGCAAATGCCTGCCCGTGCTGCTCTTGGAGAATGGGGTATTTCCGGGAACTCCTGTCAAGCCACAGATAGGAGTTTCTCTCGACGTTTTGGACTCGTACCGAGCCTACTTCGAGCGATCTGCCGATGCAATCACAGCCCTAGCTGCCTCCTTGGCTACAGTATATCGGCGTCGGGGATTTGAGCTGGGATTTGATTCGGTAAGAGCACTCCATAGTACCATTTCTTTTGGCTCTTACAAGAAACATTGCAGACGGCTGTGGAACACATTGATGATCCCTTCCGCAACGTGCTGTCACATGCTGTTCTCTACTCATCTCTGGTTCGTTTGCGGTTGGAGAAGCGACTTGAAGTGTGTCTGAGAGCAACAGAAGATGTCATAGCAGTGGAGGAAAAAGGTTAGTTCAAAGCCCAGTGGATTGATGTTGATACCGACCCATCTGCAGTGGCAGCTGAGAGACGAGCTGAGCTTGAAAATGCTGAGATGCCATTGGCAGCTGAGCTTGATGCAGAATTTGGAGGTGTTGAGTCTGCGCCGTCTGGCGGAGCGGAGCAGGCACCAGCCTTGGATGCTGGCCACGTGTCTGAGGACCCATCTGCATTGACACATTTGACCAAAGGACGTGCCGATCGTGTATTACGAGAACGGTGTCCTGCCTGCTTTGCACTGGAGGAATGGGGAAGATTGCTGAGCAAGTGAGTGCATTTTCTCATGGCCATAAACTTCTCTGAACGTTTGGCAGAGGTGGTGATGTGCAGCTGGGAGGAGATGGGTGTTTCAGCCTACAACATCTTCGCTCCTCTGGAGATGGTCCCATTCCCTTCTCCCCAGCATACTTCCTGAGTGACGCAGAGATGAAAACTACTCGTGCGCGCATAACTGCTGCAAGAGCCAAGCCGCCTCGTAAATTCAAACCTGCCATTCCTCAGGCTGCTCTCGACTCATGTCAGAGTTCATTTGATGCTGCCAACGAGAGCAAGCAGAAGGCTGATCCAAAGCACTTTGATTCAACTGGTGCCTTCGTTCTCACCTGTCGCCACTCACAGGTGTTGTTTCTGGCAAACATTGATACCCCAGGAGAGCAGCAGTGTTATCTGGTTGCTCTTTTGGACAAAGTCGCATCTCTTCTTCCACCAGTGGCAACAATCTTACAGGCCTACGATATTGGATGTCAGATGGATCATTCGTGCCACTTGGTTTGTCTTTACAACAGTCAAGTCTCAATGCTGATGCATCTGTGCAGTACCCACTGCTTTCTCCAACTCTTCGGGAGCGAATCGCATTTGTGATCAACATCATGCATTTGTTTGGACACGAATGGGATTGTCAGCTGGTGTATAGTCCAAGATTCTTTGTCGGAATGGGCCTGTCTGACATGGAAGGTGTTGAACGCTTTTGGTCGCGGGTCCGGAAACTGATCAATTTGACCCGGCAACAATGGGTATGCTCTCTTTTGTGCATGCAGGATGATGGTTTCTGACTAGTTCCAAACAGCAATCTCGTCGTATCTGGATGCTAGATGAATACACCGCATTCGTGAATCAGGAGGGCGCTGAGAAGCTCGGGGATTGGTTGGATCGCCAGCAGGCCAATCTTCTCCCCAAGTACCGACAGAGCATCAAGACATTACATGCCTGTCGTGTGTCAGAGAGAGAGCTACGATCTCAGTGGAGGGCACAAAAAGCGGCGCAGAGTAGCCGAAACATCAGTAGGCAAATATACCTCGTCTTTTTTTTTGGCTCTGATGTGTGCATACAGAGGCATCTGCGCGGTTCCGTAAAGATCTGGACAAAGTGATTACTCTCCAGAATCAGATCGTGTCTGTCGAGACCGCCATTCTGGATGTGAAGAAGTCAATTGGAACCTCAGGTGCATCTGTGGAGACGTTGTGTCATCTTGATGAGATGGAGGACACCCACATGGAGCTCAGTGACCGTGCAGATGCACTGTATGCATCGCTTAATCTGCGGCACACATTTCCCCAGCTCTCTGGATTGCCGGCGAACTTTGTCAAGTTGCTGCTTACAATGCATGACTTGAAAGTAAACATCCGGAAGCGTGCAGTTGGGTCATTTTACGAGATGGAGACTTTAGATCGTGCTGTAGGTGGGAAGAAGGAGAGTTTGGGTGCGCAATTTTCTGCAAACCTTCAGCAACCTACTGACTCGCTCCAGGAACAAAGTTTCACCAACAGACTCGAAAGGCAATGGATAAGCGACATCCAATTCTCTATTGCCTGATTGAGCGTTTCAATTCGCTGTGCAAGAAAGCCGAGGAGGAATTCCCCGCAGGCTGTCATCTACCTGTTCCCCACCCACTACCCACACAATTAGCGTCTCTCCGAAATGACCTAACACTGTACGAGGATGTCTGCGTCACACCATCATCTGGAGCAATTCCGCGTTGGTTGGACGACTCAGATGTTCGGGATGGGATTCAAAACATGCACTCTGTTGATCGATGCACGGAGGAGATGCCACGGCTCAACCGAGAGCGTGCCAACCTGGAGCTGTATCTCCTGGCAGAGACAGCACTCGTATCCAGATGCATCCATGAGGCAGCAGGAGATCCACTGCTTCAGCATCTCCTTCAGCTCCGGGCCACGGATCTCGAAAGGTTGGCTAAACGGTGGCGGAAGTCCTTTGGACAATACACCTTGAGCCCTTTCTCTGGTGGAACAATATTCATGTCTGGGTTCTCAAGTGCAGCTGCATCTGCATCAAAACATAGCACGCAGACCAACATCAGCCGCCCAAATCTCGGTGCTGAAAATCATCGGCCTCTATCAACGCCAGAAATCGTGCCAGTTCCGCAGAGTTCCAGTCATCTTAACAATCCTGCTGATGCCATCATCTCATCTGCACGATCACCTAGCCCTGATCTGGATGCATCTGCTGGAAATATTGATGGGAGCGCAAGTGCTCATCTTCATCTTGCATCAGCGGACATTCCACTGGTTGAAGAAATCCCTGAAGAGAACCTTGATGATGACATCGAGATCCTTGAAATGCAGGATACCCTGCAGAATGTCGATCTTGATGATGACAAGGATACATCTGCATTC